GGCGCCACCGCGATATTCCTTTGGTAATTGGCCTTGGTGCATCGGCACGCAAGTGATATACTGTCCCACTTCTACGGCAGGAATGACCAGAAAATTTCAGAGACTGCATAAGGTCCACCTCGCCAATAGAGTCCGGTAGAAACTGGGCCAAGCTTTCAACTTCCGCCGTAGACTTCTTATAGATTTTGTGAAAGATTCTGAGTGGCCTGGCCGTCGCGTCTCAGAGGCTAATCATAGTGTGGCAGCAGCACCATTTCCCCCTTTGTTCGCACACATCCTTCGAAGCATTACACGAGGTCTCCACGTACTCAATCTTGTTGACTTTGGTGATACCGAGGTGTATTCTAATATGAGTCCCAGGGACCCCAGGTAGTATCTCAGTGATATCCTGGCTTCTTACGCGCAGCAACTCGCCGGACCTTAAGCACGGTGATATCCCGCTGAGGAGAGCTGATCGTACAAGGCTTTTCTCTGGTTTGTCCTTGAACTGTGCCTCAGGACAGTCAAATAGGAACTCAACTGCACTCTCGAGCATTATGGCAGCGAGCTTGGCATCCCGCTGGGGCCTTATACCGTATAAGTTATACGTAAAACAGCCTGCATGGCTTGCTTAATAAGCGTTTCATCCGCGGCCTCCATGGTGCTAAAGCCTTCCAGTTTCTGCAAAGTCCTTAGGGCTTTAATTCGCTTCTGTACCGAGGTCGAATTCAGCTCAGTTACATCCAACAAACATCTGATGTATCGGATAACTTTACCAGCGTTGAGAGGGGAGGACAATCCCATTTCGTAGACCTCTCTTCTTGCCCTTTCGTAGCCTCTTCTTGTGTCCTCACTTATCGAGAGCCCTAGTAGCTCCAAATTCTGAGCAGTAGCCTCAGCTGAACCGTATGCAGGCTGAATCTCGTTCCACTTCGTGAAGGCGGAGTTTTCTGACATGGGGAATGTAGCGGTCCAACGATGACGGACAAATCTGGCATCCCTTTAGTTGGGCCCACTCAAATTGACAGGAACTCGGTCGGGTCCGCAAACGAGAAACCGAGCACTATGAACCCACGTTAGTCGTGAGCCACAACTTCTGACAAAGGTGATGTCTTACAGACTTGAAGAGGAGTGAACGCCACAGCTTTTTTAAGGACTTAACGTGGCACCTGCCGCCACGACCTCGGCATTTGACCGGTGGATACCAACGAAGCACGAGTTAACCTAGAGATATCATCAGCTATGCTGTTCAAGGTCCCGGCAATATGATGAGCATTGAGTCGGTAACGGAAGTCGCCGAATCTCCAAACGACGGAAGCAAGGCTCATAGAGCGCGACCTGAAGCTTCTTAGTACTGACACCGTACAAGTGTTGTCAGAGAAGCATCTGATATAAGTCACCCACGGAGCACATATTGCCCGGATGTACTCGCAGCCATAATAGACTGCGAGTAGTTCGAGGAAATTACTATCACCGCTGACGAACTTCACTGGTTCCAGCTCGGCAGGAAGTTGATCATCGAGCCGATTCCTGCGCTCATACCAAATCTGCCTCCAAATCTCGGGATTTTCCTCCATATTTATCGAAAACTATCTTAGATTCCGAGTATCGCATCGTGGAAAGAAGTCCCTACCCAGACCGCATCCAGAGGCATCGGTCACCAATAGATGCTCATCCTTGTAGTCAATGTATGGATTATGTTTGTTGTGACTGCGAGTGAAGGTCTCGGCGGACTTATGTAGCTCTAGGCGCCTGGTTGGTTATATTCTGACGCTCCGAAGAGACGGTCGCTGGCTCAGGACCATCAGTACTTCATAGAGCTTATCCAATTTGGGCCGTATTTCGGGAATCCAACCTGTACACCAGTTTATGCGGCCAACAAGCGTCTCCAGCGTTGCTCGCGGTATACATAGCTGATCGGATAGCAACACAGCGATTATCTTATCTCTTTTGGTCACCGGCACGCTGAGTTCGATATCGTTATTCTCCCCGATATCCAGTGGATATTATCCACCCGATAACCAAGTATCCTTCCATCACTCCTCAAAGCGTGGGTTTTCGTCAGCTCAATAGGTATTCCAAGTGTATTCCAGGAGCAGGCTGAATACCAGACAGAACCTCGCCTTGCTTGTGGCCATCGTATAGTCATCCACATATACGATCGCTCGAAATACTGTAGTAACAATCTCCGGGGCAGCCATTCGCAATGCACAGTCCAATAGGCGTTTTACACAGCGTAGGCTCGCCTCCCGGAAACGCTCGGGGATGTTACGAGGCCGAAAGGCAGGCAATTGTGCTTGAAGGCTTTGCTGGGATCCCGAGGGTCCAGAGAGCATAGGAATCCGCGTTCGCTCGATTCCGCACTAATCAATTTGAACGCTGATACTATGTCCCATTCTAACAACCAAACTTGGCTATCCTCATCTCCAATACTAGGGGTTGGTCGCGGGACATTAGCCAATAGATCGTAAACATCCCGGAACCTAGGGAGACAGCGGGTTGTTTTCAGGCCACGGACAGTACCGTCTTCGCCTTTGCTTTCGAGTAGAGCTCCAGTACGTACGGTAATATTGATACCACTCCTCCTGAAGTCGTCCAATTGTCGGATGGCTTTAAATTCCTTCCCGTTTTTCCACATCACATGAACTTTCGACAACGCCTTGCAGTCTGGACTCGTCGGATTAATCTCTGATAACCGGCCTAGCCGAAGCTCCTTCGCTATGAGCTCTTCGAACAGCCTATACATATCTGGAGGAATGCTGCCCTGCGGCCAGTCGTGTAGCCTCAGCTCCTCGAGTTTTTCGCCAGGCCACCGCACGAAGGACGGCTCATCCTTCTTTGGTTTGCCAAACTTGTCAGTATCGACTGCTGGCCATTCCGCATTTACTCGAACCGGGATCAAGAGGCCAATTGGTGCTCCCTCAGCTACCATCCGGCAGATATCCGCGTCTTCACCGGGCGACTCCGTCGTTGCTCCTTTACCAGGGGCCGTACTGAGGCAGAGTTCTTCTTGCAGTCTAGCGCGTAGAGTGGACGGGGGGGGCGGCCAGCTCTCCCAGCTCCGATTTATTGATGTCCTTCGCGACCGAGATGAAAGTGGTCAAGTCCTCAAGGAGATCATTGGCCACACTATTGAGTGAAGCTCCATCATCGGCGTTCCACTCCACACTCATCTCGGATTGCTCTTCCCGAGAGCTGGCGAAGAAACGATCTAAAAAGTCCTTTCGGGCCGCACAGAACCTCTCTGTGTGCTTAATTAGAATCCCAGAAGTACTCTCTATTAATGGCAGCTCAGATTCTCGAAACTCGAACTTGTCCCACTGCCCTGAGTACCCGGAGCCATCTCGAGGCTTTCCCTCCACCGCTGCGGCTGATAATTCCTGGGTCGACGTCACCCAAGGGTGATCTTCAGGCTTGCTGCCCAACTTTCTGCGCCTATCTCGCTGTTTCTTCGCTTGGGTAGACCTCACGTGTGGCATTTCCCAAAGAAGAGTCTCTTTGTTAAGTGGGAACCAAACTGAACGACAGTTGTTCCGAGAACGACGTTTCCTCCGTCCCATTTATGGTGTTATGACCACTAGGAACGGCACCGACGCAACGCAGCAGCGACCAGTTTTGACTACATGATAATCAAACTTCGGAAAATGGCGGAAACTCAGCTTCAACAGTGTTGGATTGGCACCAAACCAATGCCGCAGCTATTGGTTCTTAGGGTTCTTCCTTGATGGTTCATCCTTCACCTGCCCAGTCCTAGGGCGTTTATCAGACCCGAAGCTACTGTCCTTCTCCCCACCTTGACCGTTCTGCCAATAAGGCTTAGATTGGGGGTCGCCGAAATGTTTACGATAACGGCAATCCCTACCGAAGAGACAGGATTGGCGAGTGAAACGGCAAGTGTCAGCACCGAAGTGCATAGCGCTCCCTTGCCTACGTATACCCTTGCCCGAAGGTGGCCTGGGTATGCCAGATTGGCTCATCGCCGGTTTAACCAAGGCTACAGCTATCAACTCGTGAGACTGATCGGATCTTAAATAGGTACCGAAGGCAGAGTCGACTTGGAGAGAAGGGTCAGTGTCCCGCAGGCGGGTGACCCCTTGTGGCAAGGCCAGCCTGTAACCCTTATCACACTCGACTGCTGCCTCGAACGATCGTGACCTCGCTAACCAGAGCAACCGGCTCAGATAAGCAACCGTGTCTTCTTCAGCTTCGAGAAGATCTCGAGTCGAGATCTGGTCGAGATTCTCGACCACGACGACACCACCACCACCACCACCACCATAGTTTTTGTTGGCATCGACGACTTCGCTGGCAGTACCGGGACTTTTGGTGGATGAGCTGGCAGACTTCGCATCGGCTACCTCCGTCATAGTGGTTGTTTCGGACTCTCCGTCGAGTCCCCCATATGCACACCTTCTCAATAGTTCGTCGGTCAGCTCCTTGTCCTCCAGGGCCGCCTCGAGCACACCCACGGTACTAATACCCATGTCGACACAAACAGTCGACGCTTTCTCAGCCAAGTCGGGGAAAACTTCGCGGAAGAGGTCGGGCGTGCTGGGCGTGGTAGACATATAAAAACAATCTGCGACCAGCTCACGTAAATCGTAGCATGACCCAATACTCGTCTAGCTGAATTCTGTGGCAGAGTTTCTGCCTAGCCTGGCACGCGAAGCTAAGGTCCACAGCTCGGTCACCGAGCCTCGATGGAGAATACAGTGTCGCAGTCACTATCTCTAGGGCAACGAGAGATTGAGCGGACACGGAGGCAAGTCGACGAGTGGTCAGCCACGCGAGGCGGCCGTCCTAAACTCGTAGAGCCACTCTAGCCCGATCAACTCTGGGTATCAGCTTGGTCTAACCCCGAGACAGAGACGCACAGAACCCAGGTCTCATGATGAGACTAACATCCCGCCGGGATGATCCCGGCAGGGCTACTACTCGAGACCACCTCGAGAGTCACGACAGCTTCCGCTTGTCGTTCTTTACCCCACCATCCCGCCACTGAGGGAGTGACTAAATCATGGTGTCGACCATGTGATATTGTTATCAACAATTCGTTGACGTCCCAATGGTTCGGACCCTACGCCATAGGTCGGTGCTGTAGGGATAGCGAGCCCAGCCTATATTCGACCTGCCACTTCAGGGCGACACATGACTGGGCCACGTTGGTTCCCTACCAAGTCCCAGTCAGTGCTTAAAACACAACATATTAAGTGAAACCGCACAATGATGGAAAAATTAGTCTTAAACCTGCCACTTCATACACGATATTCGATGAACCTGAAGAAAAGAAGCAAAGGGATGAAAGGAAAGAACCAAGAAGACTGAAAGGAAGAAAGAAAGAGGCAAAAAAAAATATAAACACCGTCACACCCAAGATAGCTCGTCTGATGCCTAACTAAGAGTGCTTGAGGGTTCCCAACAGGAATTCTCAAGCACTTTGGGGAACTTTCTCTGTTCTTGGGTGTGTGGTCCGAAGGTGATCAGACTGGATCACTGCTTTAGCAACGACTTGACGTCTTGCTTTTCTCTTGAAATTCCGTCATCTGTCTTTCGGCTATCCGTGAACTTGCTCTCTTGGGAGACCTTCACGGGTCCCCAGAGACAACTTAGGAACTGCTCCTTAGGAGGCACCTTAAAGATAGGGAAAATTGTATCGTCTTATCTTTTCCGAATTTCCAACTAAGATTCCCAACGCCCTTTATTACTAGAGTAGTGAAACTCAAGACTTGTCGGAGTAGCTCAATAACGCAATCTGCGCCTACTTGACATTTCTCCGGTCGAATCTTCCCTTTCACACTGTAGTGTCATCGTTCCTCCTCTTACGATGAGGCTTCTGCTACCCTGCCATTCGAAGGTTGATGAACGTTCCCGTCGGGCGTTGTATATTCTGCCATGTATTCACAAAAAAATCTTTCCCTCAGTTTGACCTTTTCCTACTATGCAGTGTCACCGCCGTGTCACCACACCCCCTCCCCCTCCGCCCTACTGCCTTACCTCTCCTGCAACAACTCCTCTCTACGACCACCCCAGTGTTTCCATGATCGACAGCAGCCGAGATTTCTCTCGTCGAACTCGAATCACCGAGAGACTTCACGACCAGATCCTTCTAAGTCTAGATGACCACGACAGAGCTCTGTGGAGGGAAGCTGAATGGGCAGTCTCGAGTAAAGGGGTTAATCACGGCACAGAGGGATGCTACTACTACCGAGATAGCCCTTACCCCACCCGAGTAATTCGGCAAATTCCCGAAACTGTCGGAAGTTGCCGATCTGAGATTTCGATGATACCCTTCGGGGTCTTGGCCTGCCTCCAGCTCGATACGATAGAGGAGCCCCCACTACCAAGCCGTCTCAAGCCAGGTAGAAGACGCGTATGCAATAGGTCGACTTCAAGTAGTAGTGACTGGGAAAGGAGTACTGAGGCCGGCAGCTCCTCTGAGGGGGGCTCTGACTTTTCCGCATAAGAATATGTACTATACCATGTAGCTTCTGCAAGAGGGCAGTCGGCAATGCTACAACGATTGAAAGGGTTTTCGGTGTAGTTTACCCCCAATGTACTACTTGTCTTCGCTTCACTGCTGTTCCTGTATTCCGACAAATAGAAGTGAAGTTTATGTAACTTTTGTCGTTGTAAGTAGTAGACTATTGCTGGTGACCAAATGCGATCATTTATTGTACTATTGACGAAGAGGCAGAGGACATTCTGCATAGTTGTTATTTCATCCGATACATTACACAGGGAAATGCTTCCCCTCCCCTACTCCTTTACTTACCCCAACACCTCGGTTGAGTTCACCTTTGGAGTTTCCTCGTCGCAGAGGCGTTTTCTCATGTCTGGATAATCCCCACATGAGCCTCCACTCCTACGCGACATCATTTCTGGTAGTACTTTTATAATAATCACCAACTGCTAAAGTGAAGGCCCCATGGGCATCTATCACTACTGTCGGCCTCCCCTTCTCGTTGCAGACATGTAGATAGTATCGATTTCCACATCGGAGCTAGTTGTCGAGGCAGGCCATCAGCGATAACCCTTACGAAGTCCCTTTCACGATGCTGCTTTTGAATATATAGCTGTGTCTCGGTTTGGTCTGCTATCGTGGACTCCACGATAGCCAGTACTCGAGTAGCCACACTCCACGACGTGGAGTGTGGCTACTCACATAGGAAGGTCGGTCCGACAGCGGTCGTCTCGTCGGTTCTCACTACTCTCCTAGTGGAAATTAAATCGTCCTTTATCGTTCTCCACACATCTAAAGTCACTTTTCTTCTTCTTTTTGCGACTACCGTAGATACGACTCTCATCACCCCTCGTTATGTAGCATGCGGGTTGAATCTCGAAAGCCTTCTCAATACTGATCAACCATAGCGGTTTTCGCGTTTTCATCAACCCTCGCTTCCCCTTTATAACAGTTTTCCTTCAATATGACGGAGCGTCAGGCGACTGTCATCCGCATACTCGTCGATCCAGCAGCAGCAGCATCATCTGAGTTCGGTGGCCGAGTTCTCCTCACAGGCGAGGCATGTATCAGGCTTGCAACAGATGAGCATTCTAATATAAAGGCCCACGATGAGCTCGTAGGAGATAGTGTAATACTGTCCCGAGGTGGGGTAGAATTGATAAGACCCGATGAGAAAATTTCCCCTAGCCCCAGCGAGTTCTTCAGTGACGGGTCAGAGCAAGAGTTCGATCTGCTAGTTGACAATTCTGGCTCGAGTAGCTCTCGTGGAAGCGCGACTGATGTGAACTACGTGACAATTGATCGCAACACTGGATACGTCCAGGCTCGAAAGAATATATTTTCCCCTGTGGTTTGTGAGGGTCAGCCTCGTACGTCTCCTGAGGTCGTCGAAAGGGTCCTCGCTGAGTCGGGCGAGATGGGTAGGCTATGGCTACTCAGTTTCAGCGAAGCGAATCATGCCCGAGTTTGTGCGGAGCTGCGTCGAATTTTTGGTGTTTCTGGTGCGGTCCCCATCGCGGAAATGGCCTTCCTCGGGACTATCTCGAATCTCCTGACCGGAACTAGAGTAACTCATGATGTGTTTGAGCTCATTTTTGCAAAGGTAGAGGCACGGCGGGTGATTTCGCCGATGCTCGCCGAAAGGATTTTTAAAATGGCGACGAAGGAGAGTTGGTATACGGTGGTAGCGTTGGTGGCACCTCTGCTCGGCCGCGAGTTGGACGAATCAGAACAGATGGCAATTTTGAGTTCGGTGCAGGAGGCTGATGACCTTGAGCTCCTCACTTTATCGCTTCCCATGTCGCCGGAAATTCAGTGTGAATGTGCAGAAAAGTTGCTTGGGGGTATCAAAGGCGAACCTTCGGCGAAGCTGATCGGCAGAGTTTGTGAGGGGAATATGACCAGCTGTAGTCTCTTGTTGGAAACTCACACGAGGCTTGTCACGCCCTGTCTGAAAGACGTCGTTCGACAGGGTACGGTGGCGATCCCTACTAAATTGGGCAGGACAGTGTATATGATGGGGTTAAAGAACCACTCGGCTGCCATTGAGCTGTGTAGGGTCTCTGGTAGTCTTCTCAATGAGGTTTTGAAAATCATTTACGTGGAGCGTAAGGTCGAGGTAAGGAATGCCGGGATGGGCGGTATGCTCACCGCGAGTCGATCCGGCGACCTTTTGATGGCTATCGTAACGGACTGTCTCCCTGAGCTATCCGATCAGTTGTTGGACCGGACTGATATCTCTGCGACAGTAGTGTCTATGATGTCCGACTTGGTTGAACCTCTTGATATTGTCCACGACGTGAACCTCAAGCGTTGCCTCGAAGCTTCCATCGATCTTTGCTCGGAACAGCTCGCGCACTGGAGAGCTCTTTCCCGGGCATCTCATCCTGCTGCTGCTGCTGCTGCCCAAGAAGGTCGAAGATCTGTGCCGGTCTTGCTCGCCGAAGCCGGCTTGGCCGACCTCGCCATTTTGTTTCTAAAAAGCGGACCCGTGAGAAGAAGCTCCGTCGAAGGCGCTCTGAATACAATTAACTGTCTGTTTACGGAGCTTCCACCAGCAGCAGTTTTCGCGTTGCAACAGGAGTCTCTCCCGAAGGAGGTCGAGAGCCTGGCCGGTGACGCCATTCGGAGGTATCCGAAAGCCATAGTTGAACATGGAGACCCGAATGTGCTGGTCCTAGCAGTGGATGCATCGGTGAAGCGGAAGCTGCAGGGAGCTTTGCAAAGTTTGCTGCGTGAGATGCCTTCAAGGGTTAAAGAGTTACTCGAGACTAGCAGCGACAGAACTGATGCGGTTCGTATGATGTGCGAGGCAGTTCTATGCGATCCCACGCCACATTTGGTGGGGATGCTGAGGAAAATGGGCGAGAGTTCGGAGGATTTTGGTAAGACGATAAGGGTGTGTGAGATGCAGCCCGGGCTGAAACCTGTGTAACATGACCAATGTGATATCCTTACTATGATGAACACTTCTTGTTGAGTTCTACTATAGTGACAAGAATCATGCTATACTGACTGGTACTTCACAATGCCCTGACGCTAGTGAAGCCGCAACAGCTACAATGACATGCTAAGAATATGTGCAGGGGTGTATATGGCAATACTCGAATATCGAACCCTGACGACGAATAGTAACGCAAGGCGATTATTTCCTAGTCGAACTGACGCATATGATGCGAATGCTACAGTTTTCTCAGCGATGGTGTGATTGTAGTGCACGACTTGATAACACAACACTGCGAACGATCCGGAAAATTCTTTCTGAACCGATACATCGAAAAACTAATAGAGCCACTGGAAAGGACGATAAAACATGGTCGGAGGAAGAGCTTGTCATGTTCTTGCTCAACTATGTTCAACCTGTGTAGACCTGCTATGGGAGAGCAAATGAGTCTGAGATGATTCATCTCAGATAACGTCTTTCGAGTGCACCAGTTCAACGCCGGCGTCTAGTAGTCGTTTTCGCATAGCAGAAGCAGAGTCCGGTGCGACAGGTCTGAGGCAACTGTTTGAGGGGGGGCTGGCGAATGCAGGGCCCACCTTGTAGCGTCCTCTACCACGATGGCTTTGTACCCCAGTCCAACAGCATCAAGGGCTGTATAGCCGACACAGTAGTCGAAGGCAAGGCCGACTATAATGACTCGGATTATTTGGGCAGCTCTGAAGGGGTGAACTGAGCGGGATGCCGCGAAAACGTAAAAGTTACTTCAAAATGGCGTTCAACTCCGTGTGGTGAACTCTGTTGTTGTCGAAGAAACCCGAATAGCTGTCGACCTGTAGAGACGATATAATTTCAGGGGGGCCAATAAACCACAGTTTATGGTACAGGAACGCGAATCAGCAAGGTAACCTACACTGACATTAGTTCCCTTCTTGATGAACTTATCCGTGCCCTTCACAACGAGTCTATCGTGGAACTGGGAACCCTTCGTACACTGGACCTGCATTGCCAGCCGCATTCATGACCATCAATGTGTAATACTTTCCTACACAATGGTCGGGCCACATCATCTGTTCTGTACCGTCCGGTAACTTAAATGGTTTGAATAGCTCAGCCCCTTGGCATGCATGTGTCGATTGGAAGCTCACATGGCCTACAGGATGCCAATCCTGGGTTAAGCAGACTAATGATGTGGCCGGAGATAATCTGACAAAACGACCCAATGGAAGGAATCTTATTGACTTCCATCCCCATTCCGAGGGTCCACACCCATAACTGGTGTGTGGTGGTTTTTACTTCTCTCTGAGACCATTAATAACGTCTACAACAGCGTCACCATCCGGGACTGCCAATGAGCCACCTTTGCAGAAGTCCTTCTGGACATCAATGATCAACAGCGCTGTATTGGTCCTGATCACAACAGCCATTCACACACGCACTGTAACAGAAATAGGTTAGAATGTGTATTTACTTTTGCTGCGAGGGCACGCTTGAGAACGGGGTGACAGCTAAACAGCACAAAGTGAGGAGCTTAAAGGCGATCGTCATTCTGATCATCAACTGAATTCAGCCAAGTATCAGAAAATAGGAAAGACTACGCATTTCTTCGAGAGGAGGATATGAGCGGACGTGACAAGCGTGGCATAGTTAGGATTCGCGTCACCATCCATCATGTCACACGCCGGGAATTGCGAGGAAGAAGGCAGCGCCGCTGCATCGACTACGACTTGCATACGGAACCTTGTGTCTGCGTACACTCCAAGAGTACGCCAATGCATAGCTGTTATGCGCTGTAGTCATATGCTATAGTTGCTCATTATACCTCTTTTAACTGAGTCACTCTGTGTGCGCCACTGTGATCCCAGCATTCTGACTCATCTTCTAGTGTAAGGAACTGAGACTGGTTTTCCTTGCACCATTCATCTTATTTGTACTATGCGCTTACACAGTGGTACGCATATACAATAGTCTTTTCACTTGAAATGTTCAAATTCACGTGGTGCTGCGTGCGTATGGCGCGCACACAAGTATCGTCGGAGCACTTTCACGGTAGATAGGAGATTGATTCGATGAATCGGGTTCTGAGAGCTTCGCCTATTAGTGTTACAATAATGCATGGCCATGACGTGTTCCATGGTATATGCGAACTCACGCTCTGGCGTAAAAAATTTTATATTTTTGTATTCAACTGGTGTCTTTGATTGCACACGCTCCATTTACCTGGAGCTTCTATCTCATGTTGGAGACTCCAACGCTCCACCGTGAAATGTTGTAGATGGCCTGCGTTCGATACATGGCTCAAGTGTTATAACGTTGTTGGTGTTGTTCAGTTCATACTGATCGTGTTTTCAATATGGAAAATGATGTATGAGGAGGTGGTAATATGGGCAGTGATATACGGACGATAATATGCTACACAAATGCACTCCATTTACATAGTGTGATACATCGTTGCTGAATATTCTCGAGAAGTTCGAGTTACACAATTCTCGTAACGGATTCCACACTTAATTGCGGTCAAGTGCGGTTAAATTGAACCTCATATTGCGGTTTTCGTTCAAGCCGGACGGCTCGCGAAAGCCGCCTCCTTTCCCCCTCACTAAAATACCCTTTGGCGGAGAGATCCGCGATTCGCCGACCGCGAACATTCGCCCTTGGAAACTTTTCTGCCACATGCTAGCTAACGAGCTTCTCTAGAGAGGTTTAAAATAGTGTATCTGATGGGACATACCGTATGTGAATTGATCACTGATCAGCAACTGAAATTTCCCGACTGAGGCCGATTCCCTTATTTTTCTGGCAGCAGGTCTACTCGATGTTATCCAACGAGTTGCTATCTCAATCGACAAATCTCTAGCAGGCTCTAGTTGGGTATCAACTCTGGCACTCACCATCGTCTGACAGGTTGATAGTGGCCGCATGGGTGGGAAGGAATAGGAGTTAGTAGTGTATCTCTCGTACAGGAACTCGAGGTTAGAGCCCATTCAGAGATGGTAATACCATCATGGTATGGGACAGCATGTCACATCCTGTGGACGGAGGCTTGACAGGGGTGCTCCTTTTAGTACAGAGGGAAGACGAGGCAGCTGAGGGCCGGAGAATTATAGTCATCGCGGACAATCAGCTCATTGAGATGCATAACGACAATGCATCGAGATGTAGAATATTGAAAATATACACTCCCACTTGGATTCCTCTCCTTATCGTGGGTACATCATTAGTGACTCGTCCCACTGCTAACACAACAGTCGTGATCTAAGCCTTGTCACAAAGAAAAACATCAATTTAAATACATTCAATGCCTGACTGAGTGACTCCTGGCTACTGCCCGCTCACTGACCCAAATAACAATAATGTGGATCGAAGTCAGTGGCCAAATTACGGGACTAGAAGGATTCGACAAAAGGCGATTCGATGAGCTCCGAAGGGGACATCAGTATCAGTCGTGAATTCAAATCGAATGGTGACAGTACAGTTATTCGCGGCATTTTGGAGCCTTCTTTTTCAACTTCGTATCTGTCCAGAAAGACCCTTGTGAAATCCATAATTTTTCACAACTGTAACAAGGCCGACCAACACAAAACGCTTGTGCGGACGGTGTCGATATCATCAACTAACCAAAATACTTTGTTGTTACTTCTGCTACCTTATCAGCAGACAGTGTCTTAGTGGTGGCAATTAGATCCCCGTAGATTACGAGAAACAGGTAAGTCTGTTGAGATTTTGGACAAGGTCCATTTATTCACGGCACCACGACACCAGGATCGATCTCAAATATCGTCATTGCCCCGAACGGCGTTATCATCTCGTGGGTTCAAAATTGACAGCGCAAATCACCCGCTTGTGAAAATTTGAAATCACACTGAACGTATATCAACAGCGTAGAGAGAGCAACTCATTATACAATCTCTTTAGTTGCAGCGCGTTCGACCTGCACAGAGGAAGATTGCTTATGGAGGACAGACCAGGGATGCGCGTCTACCTCCCCGGAGCTCATCAGTTCAACGCCGGCGTCTAGTAGTCGTTTTCGCATAGCAGAAGCAGAGTCCGGTGCGACAGGTCTGAGGCGACTGTTTGAGGGGGGAGGCTGATGGATGCAGGGCCCACCTTGTAGCGTCCTCTACCACGATGGCTTTGTACCCCAGTCCAACAGCATCAAGGGCTGTATAGCCGACACAGTAGTCGAAGGCAAGGCCGACTATAATGACTCGGGTTATTTGGGCAGCTCTGAAGGGGTGAACTGAGCGGGATGCCGCGAAAACGTGAAAGTTACTTCAGAATTTGATCCAGATCTGTGTGATGAGCCTTGTCGTTATCAAAGAAGGCCGAATAGCTATCCATCTGCAAATGCGACATCATCAATGACATTCAGTGTGAGGATATGACGAAGGAAACTCCGTAAATGCAATTCAAGTAGACCTACGTTAGGATCAGTTCCCTTCTTGATCAGCTTGTCAGTGCCCTTCACAACTAGTCGATCGTGGAACTGTGAACCCTTCGTACACTGGACCTGCATTGCCAACCGCATTTATAAGCATCTATGTGTAATACTTCCCTACACAATGATCGGGCCACATCATCTGTTCTGTACCGTCTGGTAACTTGAATGGTTTGAATAGCTCAGCCCCTTGGCATGCATGTGTCGATTGGAAGCTCACATGGCCTACAGGATGCCAATCCTGGGTTAAGCAGACTAATGATGTGGCCGGAGATAATCTGACAGAACGACCCCATGAAACATGCACATAAACTTCCTGTATGATTTCGACGGTACACGTCAATACATGCCAACTGATGATAGTATTGTAAGCCATGAACGATTAGCCTGCAACATCTCGAAAACCAGACTGATCATTCGTACTTCTCTCTCAGGCTGTTGATAACGTCGACAACAGCGTCACCATCCGGGACTGCTAGGGAGCCACCCTTGCAGAAGTCATTTTGGACATCCACGACTATCAATGCTGTGTTGGTCCTGAGTTGTGATTGTCCGAGAGCTACGGCATGAACGCAGCTTACATCTGGCAGTGTTATCAGCAATCGGTAGAGTCTACCGGGTAGACACGTGGATGATAAGGTTGAGGGTAAAAACAAGTCCTTCCAAAGGAGTCTCCGGCGAAAGAACGTGCTGTTAAAGCTGTAATGGTCGTGAGTCGAAATAGTTGTCTCTCGTAGAGTATATTGTCGTATGCAGCTCATTAGGTTTAGCGCGTTTCCGAGTCTCTAGCGTCCAATGCTGTTGTAGACCTCATTCATCTTGAACACTTGGATTTTCCCATTCTCTTCACAGTTTTGTCCTACGCATACGTGCCGATAAACGGGTGTGCATGCAGTGCTGTTAATCGCGGGGTAGTGTATTCTACATCGTGAGGATCATGACGGGTTGTCATTACAGGTCGATTGACAACGCTGTTGTTAATTGACCTGTCTTTTCAATTAAAATACGATGATTGCAGGGTCATTAACAACAACAGCATCGTTCTTCGTTCATTACTTATTCTCTTCTCATTTTTAAGTTGTGTCGATCTTCTAGTGATCACCCGACCGTACATCTTTCCGAGACTTATCTCGCTACTTAGTTCAATATACTCATGCGAGGCAGATATGTATGGATTCGACACTGTAGAGTCAGCGCAATCACACGATTGCGTATGCGTGCAAGGTATAGCTAGTCTACCCGCTAATCTAAAGGTTCCGCTCTACGCTCATCTCGAGTTTACACGTGTGTGAGAGGATGATACGATTGTGCGAGTGGACTACGCTGAGGTTCTGCTATATGGTGTAGTATAATTGATTCATCCGGGTGGGGCAGCTATGCCACTCCAAGATACGCCTCAGTGTACTCAATTCGTCCGGGTGGGGCAGCTATGCCACTCCGAGATACGCTTCAGTATACTCAATTCATTCGGGTGGGGCAGCTATGCCACTCCGAGATACGCCTCAGTATACTCAATTCGTCCGGGTGGGGCAGCTATGCCACTCCGAGATACGCTTCAGTATACTCAATTCATTCGGGTGGGGCAGCTATGCCACTCCGAGATACGCCTCAGTATAATCAACCTCTCTTGATGGCCTACCAGTGGTGGGGCAGCTATGCCACAGCAAGACATGTTTCAGTGCCACCAATATCCTTCGGACGGCACGACTATGTCATCCGAAAATATCAGATCAATTAGCTTGCCAGCCACACTTGGAAATGATGTTAATGTTTCAGTATTGATTTCATGTTCAAATAACTATGCCGGATATCATCCCTGTCCTGGCAGCTCTTCTTTTACTTGCCATAGGGGTGCAAATCGGTCTGTGGTATATGCCATACACTCAACGTGCTGGAGTTGCTCAGTCACTCCTGAGATACCAGGTGACTCCGAATTTGAGTACGCCATCGGTGCGTTCGTCCAACGAAAGCGCAGCTCACGCACTCTGGGAGACTATTGGCAGTGAAGCTTACTGGAAGACTCCACAAGGACAAGCTCGTCTTATGGACGATGTTAGAAAAAACGCCGATGAGGTGGACACTGTACTCGAGGCTTTGAATTCCTCCTCGCCGAGTATGAGCCCCACCACTACGCGCGCAGTATTGATATGCCTTCCTAATAGCGGCGGAGATGACCGCAATCGAGAATTCAGAGCCCTCTACCTCTCCTGGCTGCTCGTCATCTCGGAAGAACCTCCTAACCTGCGCACGGACCTCGTCGTTTTCACTAATGGTCACGGGGCAGAGCTTGCCATCAGCCTCGGTTGTGTGACAGATATCCGACGTGACTTGTCAACACCATCGAGATGTGTCGTAACTCCCTACACGCCTCTCGAAGATCGAAGTCGACCGCTGAGTCAACCAGATGACCCTCTTTGGCGGTATTCTACTTATATGAATAGCATTCTTAGCTTTGCAGAGTACGAAGGCTACTCCTATGATTTGGCCCTTCGCACTGACACCGACGTATTCTTGATGCCGGGCTTCTACAACTGGACCCTACCAAGTGACGTGAACCTTCTTGTAGGCCAAGGCGGATATACTGTAGCGAACAGTGCTGCCCACTTGGCGTATGTTTCCAAAACATTAGGACTGCGGAACAAATTCAATCATCCCAATGTGGGTAGCACCTGGTTTGGCAACCTCGAGTTGACCCGTGCTGCCGCTCGGTTGAGTGTAGCCATTGCAAGATGGCTGATCGCAGAGGAGTATTCGGAGTTCGAGAAATGCTGTTCACAAGTCCTCGGTTGGCCTCATTGGCATTGGGGTGTTGTTACTATGTACAGTGGGCATGTAACGCTGAATCATATAGCGCATTTTGCTAGGTCGGGAGATGGTCACGGCGATTTGGACGGCCAAGCTACTAGTTCTGACAAAGTTTCGAATATTATGGTCAAGCATGTGCATTGCTGGCATTCTGATGATCAGTTCTCCAAGTTCCAACACTGGAAGGGGTCATACGATACCTTAGACCTCACTCCCTATCTGGACATGTCCATCATTAAGGATTTTGCTTTAGTACTTGCTGTTAGTAGCGTGAGATTAACTGAAGCTGAATTCAGAAGCTTGTCCTCGAACCCACCCACCTTAGGTAACCGTACGACGTGGTTGCGAGTTCTTCCTCCCCATTGACCGCAACATTTTCTCCTTTGAGTGCGCAGTAAGCTTTTCATAGTTGCTTTGTGCCAACGACATTCCAATCGTTCCATCAGAGAACTTTTTTCCAAAGATTTCAAGATGACTACTGTTTTGTTGACGTAACGTCGAGAGCTCGAAATCCTCTCGATGAACTTATATTCGCTAGCCTAACGCATGAGCTCTCGTGCAAGCCAACCATGAAGGGGTTTTCGGCAGGCGGCGCCGTATTGATTGACCCCATAGCCGACCTTGAAGGTTTTGGCTAGGACCGATCCGTGGTCCGAGTGATCACTATTGAGAGCGAAAAGCCCCCAAATAAACTGTTAAATTGAGCAACTTCCGGAAATCGATTCTGGAAATGCTTTCGACGAGTAAGACGCCGTTCAAGAATACACCCGAACTTTAGGAAGGGTTAATCGAACGCGCAGGTACCGCGAGTGGCACCTTATCGACAATAGCGAATCGAAAATGGCAAAGACGGTGTTAAATAGTATCATCGGATCCACCCACAATACACTGAAGCCATATCGGCCTCACAATACTCAGCGAATTCGACTTTCTTCGACATGAGTATCAGTTCCGATGCTAAACTGATGATAGCCATCATGAAAGAGACCTCCGAGGGCGCGAACGGAACGGTCCGATAAGAACTCTAACAAGTCCTCGCAACCTGATGGACATGACACTATTCGATCAGCATTGGACGTCACGTTGACAGCACACTGCCGCCTGGATCGGAGGTCTGTGACCTCGGGTCACCTCAATAGCCGCATACATTACACCGATGCGATGCCCTCAAAGTCCTTTCCCATGGATGTGATAGTTATCGGTGCTGTGGATGCCAGCCGAACGAGACGTAAATACTTACTAGCGCGAATTTGAAGGTGTCGTAATTCATAAGTGGCTTTTACGGGGCTAAAGGTGATTGCTCACTACTACAATAACCCGTGTAGGATATTGTTCTGGCAGAGATAGTTTTCGCCATGTCCTCTGACAGAGCACTACTATACACTGGCTGTTAAGACGATTCACACCCTTCGGTGCATTGTTCACTCCTTCCGACTCTGGTTGTTTGACTGAGGTAAACGCTACATCAACATGAATGCCGAAAGTAGTTTCCAATGTTACGCCGTGCTTAAGACGGATAAAGGTTAGTGCAACCTTTGAGAGAAGAAATGAGAAGACTCTTCATGAGAGAATGCGAATAACAAAGGCTCGTGAAGCTGATTACGATAAATCCTTGGACACGACTTGGTTACCGACAGTAAGTCAACGAGCATACAGTTGTACAATGACTGATATACCCGCGATAACGAGGAGAGCAACGACCAATGCTGCCCAGAATAAGATGTACCGCCACCGTCTCGGTGACGCAGACCTATCAAATTGCGATAGGAAGGCGAAGCGAGGCCCTCGTCTTTGGGAATGGAAGTTCTCATCATCAACTTCTTGCATCACTGGGCTTTTGGAAGCAACTCCAACTGGTGGCGGTACCGAGGAGGTCTTCGCTGGCTGCTCCTTCGTCGGCTCTGAGATCATTTCGGAAGGGGAACAACAGAACTACTACCACTCGCTGGCCCTCCGTCGAACTCTGATAAAAGCCCAATATCAATCATGTTGAAACGTGCATGAATTCAACAATGAACCTAGTCGCCAGAAAGGGGGTAGTCACTTTCAGCTTGAGAGTTGATCGGACTTGAGTATCCTTTATCAGCCTCAGGATTACAGCATTCGACTCCAGCCACGCCGGGGTATCAGTCGCAGAGTCCAACCGGGACGCCGACGGCGGCCTTATGCGCCTTCTGAAATTGGTCGCGGGCCCCATCCGCATACGTTGTCTTCAATTCTACCTGGGATGCAATCCCACTTAGGCAAAGCGGATCAACAATACACCGTGTGGTAGCATTGCTACCATAGCGACTCTCATGAAACCTTGTCTTAGGGACCTTAGCTTTGCTCGCGCCAACCGCTTTAGCAGCAGTCACCTCCCCTTCGGTCAGTCTCTTACCCGCTGTAACCGTTCACTTTTGGCATGAATATCGATGGCAACGGCTGGGCGAGATCCTCATCTGTGATTCATAAGGGTCCATCAGCAGCCGTACTACAATATCTTCTCCCCCGCCTTCTCCTTCCTTCTGCTCCCCCTCTCTCGTCAACTCCTACCGGGTAGTAATCTCCTCCTCGTCATTTTTCGACCCTAGCCACCCTAACATCGGCCGCTTCCCATATTCATTGTAACTACTGTGGCAAGAGGCTGACTACAACCACACTGTTTCGAGTGATACAAACAAAACAGTGTTTTGTCAAAACACTACCAAGTCCACCATCGCCTCCCAAAGGCCTTTTCAGCCGCCGTTTGCCCCTTCTCCTCCTCCTCCTCACCGTCGTCGTCGGGAGATTTTGTCGACTCAGGAGCCGCATTCGTATCCGCTCAAGAGGAAGGACCCATTTGGAATATTAGGGAAGCAAGATGTTGTCCAAGATCTTATCACGTACTTACAATTTTCAGGTGTGACGCGCGAAACGAGCTCTCGGAAACATGCTTCGCTCCGCTCAAATTTGCCTGCACGTTCATCATTTTCATTCTCAAGTCTACTTTCGCTGACGGGACAACGAAACAGCGGAAGAACAGTATCATCCCCAAGAGGGAATGTAATCACTTCCTAGTACAATTTAAGTAAGTGATTCTCCACTACTATTAGGTTGTAGTGCTTTCTGTGGCTGAAATGACCCTCCACGGTGCATTCGATCTCATCTGCATTGTATCATTTCTATCCCTTCTCAGAGCTCAGAAAGAGGATCGGGCGGGATCTGGTGCTTCCATGGAAGTCAGTATATATCCTATGGCCCAGCGATGAGGTACGATCGGGGACGCTCTCGGCCCACGCACCGCACTCTGTGGAAGAGCGACATTCTTCCCCCTCTCTGAACGTTGAATCGATAGCGGAAAGCAGCAGAGAATCCTCTCGGTGGACGAGAAAAAGACCAAGTTGATCGCCACGGGCCGGGGTCGCCCAAGGTAACTCAGTGTAAGGAATGACCCTTATCGTGTGCTCTTGCATCGAATCCATTTGATCGATATGTAACGGCACATGAGATATGTACAGGCCCGGACCATAGCTCGCACACTACTCAGGATTTACCTCAAACTCCGGCGTGAGGCAGCCTGTCAATCGCTCAGATTAGTGCCGCCCACACGCCGAGTACGCGAAACAAGGGTTATCGCTTCAAATACACTACTAAACTCAACATTGACGAGTTTAATCATAACATGGTCAAAGCCAGCAACACCTTGTTAGAAGAACTGATAAATCTCATACATCATAATACATCTGCCGATTCACGATTTCATTCAGGGGCATGTAGAATTTATTTAATTTTGACACCTCAGAATTCACCGGACAACTCACTGACATCAGAGGCCTCTCGGAACCATTCGTGGAAGTGCCAACCTCCGTACGACCTAAGGGAAAACCAAATTGTCTCTTTTCGATGGGAGAAGACGGCGAAAGCGATCCCAACACATTCTAGGGAAATCTCGCACTAGATGTGAAAGTGTACTCACTTCATCACGCTGAGCACGACCAAGTACACAATAATTGCAGAAAAAACGAGGAAGATCCCAACAACTCCTATAATGAACATTGTAAAGAAGTAGTTGTAGCCGTAGATCGTAAAGAAGTCGCCAACGCCTGAAACGACTTCAGTTCAATCACCATCAATAGCACACTCTTACTCGCCAAACAGCCACAGGCAGCAGCTACGATATCCGCATCGAATATACCGAGCTGAGCGGCAACAGCATCGCACTGGACGCAATGGGTTGAAGGCTCAGGGAGGAGCCCGTCGTTAACAGCAAAGATACTTCGAGGTCCGCACAGTTGTCCGAGAACACCGTCGAAGGTACCCGTAGCGTTGGGCCGATCCAGGGCTAGCGCTGGGCATGCAACCTAGAGAATACCCTAATGCTGAACATAGGGACCGCAGGAGGGTACCAGCTGCCCTGTTGCTGTTCCCATGTAACAAGCAGAGTTGAGTAAGCGTGTTGAGCCCAGCTGGCAGGAACCGGTCTCCCAAGTGCAGGCGAATGACTGTAGGGATGAGGTGACGTTGGTCAGGTTGAACGACGAGTTCCGGATGAGCCTGCCGATTTCCGCACTCTTCTGTTCTTCTAAAAAAGGACCATGCTCCCGAGTGGCTGACTTGAGGTCGACTCACGCATCATCACGAGAGAGTGAGCTGTGTTGTATAAGGACCAGGCTCCAAAGGCATGGGTCAACAACGCGATGCTGCTGAAGCTGACGAGAAGGAGTCTCCAGGCCGAGGAGACGGAGTTCACAGCTCGGAAAAGCACAGCTGAGCCCAGAGACCGGTCGAACGAGCGCAAACGAGTTGAGCCATCACCGAAGGCCATGACGTAGAGAAGGGCGGCAGCTAAACTTGCGTACTCTATGGGCTTGATACCAACGTCGGAGAAGTCGCCAAAGTCCTGAGATGAACGATTATACTCGAATGTGTTTTCGAAGAGCGTACTCGGAAAGCCTCGAAGTTAACTTTGGCGAAGGGATGTGTGTACGCCCTGGCCCAGCTGAAGCAGTTGAAGACGATTCCGTAGACAAGTCCGATAACCTAAAACGTGAAGCAAGGCTCGGGAAACGAATCGACCAGTATAGTGCTAAAATAGAAACACTCATAGTCCCGTCTCGGTGAGTAAGAAGAGCACAAACCCGTCCTTACCACCAGCCACCCCGCGAGGCCCTGAAGCCAACACTTGCTGTGAAGGTCAGGGGGCTCATCGATCAGGTCGTCATTCAGTTTCCTCAACAGTGAAGTCATCTGTCTACGAGCTGAGACACAGACGAACCTCAAATTAATTTGGCGAGCGCTGAACAAATTACGCGCTTAGTAACTCTTCCAGCGCAGAAACAATCTCGCTCGCCCAAAAATAGAGAAACTGCGGCAGACTTCACAAGCTTCCATAAGGTGCGAAAATTGTGAATTACCTTACGATTTTGCACCTTGAGGCGGTTGGGCTCTTTTACGAGGCTACAGTGAGGGTAAGGTGGAGAAATACCTCCAGGAGGACGGTTACCGGGGCTCCTTACCGTCCGACGGTAAGGAGCCCTACCCTAATGCATTAGCACGTATGGGGTTCATCTCCTCACGTAAGGTGATTTCATAAGAGCGCTTTGGACCCCACCTTAAGAACCCTAGGTAGCTCCGGAGGTACCGTGTGACATTTCACACTTTCGACTTTTTCATCCTTCCCTCGCTTAAATTCGGAACCGAGTTGGTACAGCTTGGTTCAAACTAGAGTTCAGCCTATTGCTTGTGGACAACGTTGGATGAGAGAGCAATCTCTAGAGCCTGGGAAACTTCTATCTGCATACTTGCATTATAACGTCCTTAGTTCACATTGCACGCGAACCCGCAAATACATCTTGAGCGTCACCAACGACTTGGTAGTAACCAAGGATATTCTATTTGATCCGCACTCTTCCTAATCACCACAAGAAAAGTAAAAGGAAACCACAGTACTCTAGTCGAGGCTCGTGGTACCATTAGAATGAGCTCACCCTGTCAGCAAGGCATTGCGGAAAAGACTTGCATCTATAGACAGAGCAAGAAGAGACGACGCTAGTGCCAGAGAGGACACCAGCTTGAGCTCCTGGAGAGTCAAGAAAGCGAATATACCACTCAGAGCAGTCGGGAATCGAACACTCAACCGCATGAGATCTGAGTCAATGCTTGACTCGAGAACAACAACAATATCACCGAGTCTAAAGAATGCACACAGTCCGTTGCGCGACGACAAGGTATTCATCCAAGATCATGCATTAGCGCATGCAGCATCCGGTTTTGGTAGCTGGACTGAGACCGATAGCATCACGAGGTACGGAACAAACATGACTACTGTAGCATTCTGCCACCGTGGCCGTCCTAAGGTTCACATCGTAGTTTGCATCCATTTCCTATCCAAATAGCGTGGTCACATAGGAGGCACCATCACGCGCGAAAAAGTAGACGAATTGTGATGCCGAAGTGGATTGGGGTATCATTAATCTTGCTCGTTGCGACTAGCACTTGCAAATTTGGAAACAACAACTCATGAGGTTCAGGGCCTGAACTTCAGAGGTTGTAGTTTCTAGACTCAGAACGTCTCGTGGGTTGCAAACCGTCTTGTAAATACCTCGTCAATGACCTCGTATGAGAATGTACCCGTTAGGAAAGTCACGCGGCGTACGGTCCAAGGTGTCTCCTCACCACCTCGAAATATTCATCACCCGTCGACATTACTCCAGCATGAGCCTTTCCGCGACGAATCAAGCTTTCGTGGCGGGGTGCGCCACGACAAGTCACGATCATTGCACTTTCATTGTCGAGCTCATCTCTTCTGCGAAGCTTCTCGAGGACCGCAACGTAACCGTCTATTCCGTCAGAAACCCCCTCGTTGAGCAGATGAAGAGGTCTATTGGTTTCAGTGTACTTCATGCCATGAGACTCTGCAGCTCGTAGTTGCGTTATCATCTCCGTTTTTATAGCGCGATGCTGTCCTGACTGTGGACCTCGTTCAATTGTCTGCGCACCCTTCACGGTGAATTATTACTGATGCAATATATATTTTCTGAGTATTGCGAGTGTACCGAATAAGAAAGCACTATTAGAAAGGATGTGTTTTTCATAGCCATCCTTGTGTGTATATGCTCGGGTTTCACCACCACGGTTGGGTGGTGGCACCACCCGCACCTGAGCTCACTGCTGGTCTAACTGCAATTCGCGAAGAGTCTGATATCGCGAAATTATTTTTCGGAGCGCTGTAGACTATCATACCACACTTAGTGGGATCCACCGGAGGACTGAGGATGGTCTTTATCTTTAAAGTCAGCGTGAGAAGTGCACTCACCTGGGCGGTTAGCGAGGGATACGCTGTGATCCTATTCCCCGGTATGGTAGACCTCAATCCCATACCGGCGAATGTTTTGCTGGCTATACAACTCGTCTGCGAGTGAAACCGTTTCTACTTGAACGCAACTCGAGCACACCTTACAACGAGTTAACAGCGGCTAACAGACGTGGGTGACTTCATGAGCTTCGGACATCTTGAGCGACCTATAATGTCTCTGAATCGTCGTCGCGGCCCTCTCCTGTTCACTGACGTCACGAGCTCTCGACATCCTTAACGACCTGTAACGCTTCTGAATTATCGTCGCAGCTCTCTCTTCTTCGTCGACTTCACGAGCTTTCGACATCCGTAACGACCTGTAACGCTTCTGAATTATCGTCGCAGCTTTTTCTTTTTCGTCGACTTCACGAGCTTTCGACATCCGTGACGACCTGTAGTGATTCTGAATCGTCGTCGCAGCTTCTTCTTCGATGATTTCACGAGTTCTCGACATCCTCAATGACTTGTATACTTTTTGAATCGTCACTATGGCCATTTCTTCTTCGGTGAGTTCCGGAACTTCCCACATCTTGTACGCTCTGTAATGTCTCTGAATCGTCGCTGCAGCTCGACCCTTGTCAATGACTTCATGAGCTCCCGACATCTCCGATGAGCCGGAATGCTCCTGCATCCTCGATTTGACTCTCTTATCTTCAGTGACTCCAACAGGTTTTGACATTTTCAACGATCTGAAATGCTTTTGAATTGCCCTCGCAGCTGCTTCTTCCTCGACACGGTCCGACTTTCGATCTCGCGGACGACGGCTGTCAGCTACCTCGTCTTGGCACTGTCGATGCAGGGACTTCTGAAACGCATGACAAGCGGTACACAATCACATACGCCCTCACAATGGAATCTGCAGGGCGAATGGGAACGTGGCAACCTCAAAGATGTTCTCTCACCTTCCATGATCGGCGATATACTCGTTCAAGCACAGCCTTACAGAGCGTCTGAGGTTCAAGCCGACTCACATGAGCCGGTGCATCTTCAGTGGCCACTGTCTGCACCAGAGTGCCTTCCCTCTGCTTGAACCTCCTCGGGGACATTCTTCTCGAACATGGTGATGTGGGAGCTCGTACTGGCAGCGGAGCATCTGCGAGGAAGGACGTAGTGTCCCATCCCTCACTCATAGTACTGGCATAGGCCAACAGCGAGGACTCGGGTTCCATTGAGGAGCTGATGTCGCCACATTGCAACACTATCGTGGTGGGACGCACTGGGCGCGCCGCTTGCGGCTTTCGAAAACAACGTCGGCGAGGAGTACACTTCACAAGCCGCGGAGTTTTCTCAACTGCTAGCTCAGAGCTTCCCGCGGAGAATTGGAGGTCAAGACTAGTATTCGTCAAACTGGCAAAGGTCGATCTAGTGATACAATCAGCAACCAGCTCGGTATCCAATCGCGGTATTTCAGCCGTTCCAACAGATCTTCTCGTCATAGGTGGCGACTCTACTATAGGATCGTACGTGATGTGTAATTCTCTGAAAAAGAGCGTACCAAGTGACCGCGGAGTTCATCTGACCGCCTCTTACTTTCGCAGTTCCTCACTCGCCTTCCTAGCCCCCTCAGTAGCGACCAACGTGGGAAGATGAGTATCGTCCAGAATACCGACAGTAGACTGCGGATTGAACCTCGTCTCCCTGCGATGTGCCTGCCGCATCTGCCGCAGCTCTCGAGTCAGCTCTGACTCTTTCGCCACAACCAACGCTCTGTGGAGCCTCAAATGAGTCAGCCAACTTTTGAAGCCGCTCTTTTTTGCCACATTCACACCAGTACCGAGCTCGAGCGCCTGCTTGTATGCAAAGGTGTCAGCGACCCCAGCAGTGGAATGTGTTATAGGCATCTTTCAGGATAACAAGGCTGGACCTATTTCATAAATATATCAATTTCCAAGTTTCCACTGTGTTCGACCTGAACTTCTCTCGAACTTATTCCTACAAGTAGGGTTCGAACGTTTCGAAGCCCCCTTTGACCACACAACAGAAATGTCGCCAGTGCGAAAAAACTTTTATCACAAATGTTGCTCATCTTCCTAAATGAGGGACAGAAAAGACTCACAACTCATCGGGAGCATCGTCCTCTTCCTCGTCGTCCATATCCTCGCCACCACCGCCAGCTTGGTAATACTTACTGATAATAGGAGCACATACACCTTCGGTCTCTTTCTGTTGGGCCTTGATCTCATCAGCATCAGCGCTCTCGCCGTTAACAGAGATCCAATCCTCACCGTCCTTGACAGCCTCGAGGACTCGCTCCTTCTCCTCCTCGTCCATCTTCTCACCGAGACCAGGTTGGCCACCACTGCCCTCGATGGCACTGCGCATCGAGTGTAGGTAGTTATCATAGGCGTTCTTCGCGTCGAGCCTCTCCTTAGTCTTCTTATCCTCATCAGCGTACTTCTCGGCATCACGAATCATCTGCTCAATCTGGTCCTCGGACAAACGGCCCTTATCGTTAGTGATGGTGACATGCTCTTTTTTACCGGTTCCCTTATCAACAGCTTGAACATTCATGATGCCATTAGCATCGATCTCAAAAGTGACCTCGATCTGAGGTTGACCCCTAGGGGCAGGAGGAATGCCAGAGAGCTCGAAGTTTCCCAGTTCGTGATTGTCCTTGGTCATAGGACGCTCTCCCTCGAAGACCCGAATGTTAACGGCGGGTTGGTTGTCCTGATAGGTCGAGAAGACCTGGGACTTCTTCGTGGGGATGACAGTGTTACGGTTGATGATCTTCGTCATAACGCCTCCGACAGTCTCGATACCGAGGGATAGAGGAGTGACATCCAACAATAGAAGATCTTGGCCGCCCTCACCCTTCAAGATACCACCCTGGACGGCAGCACCATAGGCCACGGCCTCGTCAGGGTTGATACCACGGTTGGGCTCCTTTCCACCGAAGAAGTCTTTGATCAGAGACTGAATCTTGGGAATTCGAGTGGAACCACCGACTAGCACAACCTCATCTATTTGACTCTTGCTCAAGCCAGAATCGTCCAAGACTGTCTTCACCGGAGTGAGAGTATTCTTGAACAGATCAGCGTTCAATTCTTCAAAGCGAGCTCTGGAGAGGGTCTCAGAGAAATCAATACCGTCTATGATGCCTTCGATCTCGATACGAGCTTGATGAGTAGATGACAAAGCTCTCTTCGCCTTTTCTACCTCCCTGCGGAGTTTGGCCAGAGACCGTTTGTCGGAGCGGAGGTCCTTCTTATGTTTCTTGAGGAAGATCTTGATGAAATGGTCCATGACACGCTGATCGAAATCCTCGCCACCCAAGTGAGTATCACCAGAAGTGGCGACGACTTCAAACACACCATTATCAATGGTCAACAGGGAGACATCGAAGGTACCGCCGCCAAGATCATACACAAGGATGTTCTTCTCAGACTTCTTGTCAAGCCCATATGCGATGGCAGCAGCTGTGGGCTCGTTGATAATTCTCATGACATTGAGACCAGCAATGGTGCCGGCATCTTTAGTAGCTTGACGCTGACCATCGTTGAAGTAGGCCGGGACTGTGATCACTGCATTCTTCACTTCAGTACCGAGGTAATTCTCAGCAACTTCCTTCATCTTCGTCAGCACCATGGCGGAGATCTCCTCAGGAGTGAGAGCCTTCTTCTGGCCCTTGACGGCGATCTCAATCATAGGCTTGCCGCCCTTTTCGATGATGTTGAAAGGCAACAGTTTCTTATCGCGTTGAACGGTCTTATCAGAATAGCGACGACCGATGAGTCGCTTGACATCAAACACGGTATTTTGCGGGTCAATGGCGACGTAGTTCTTTGCGGCTTCTCCAACGAGACGTTCCTCATCAGTAAAGGCGACGTAAGAAGGGGTAATTCGATTTCCCTGATCGTTGGGGATGATCTCGACACGGCCGTTCTTGTAGATGCCGACGCATGAGTAGGTGGTACCGAGATCAATACCGACAACTGGGCCGGAGACCTTCTCCTCCTCTTTGGCACCGAGGACTAAGCTGACAACGTAGGCAAAAATTGCGATGGGTAACCTCATGGTGGGGTAAAAACGGGGACCTGTTAGGTGACTCGTAATAAGACCATAGACACCGACAATCAAGGCTCAAATACATGCCATATGTCAACCCCGACAGGAACTCATTGCGAGCAGTCGCTGGCGGAAACTTATCATAGCAGGAAGTTCAGCGGGTGGCAGCACATGCATGAGCAATGCGTGCATGCAAGGGGCGAGCGATATATAATGTGCGCGAAGCGATACATATTCGCGTTTCGTTTCGCAAATCTTCTTGGCCAGTCCCAAGGAGCCCGACCCTTTTGATACCTCACATCTTGGTGCGGTGACCTGGTTGTTGGCTGAGCGCTGTGATTGACTCTCTACGTCACAGTAATACTCATCTCGGGTGGTGAGCGTTCCAACATCGGACGATTTTTTAGAGATACTGGTCCTACAACTCAGAGAGCGTAAGATCCTCTCAAGGAAGGGAAACCTCCTTATAACTTAGGAGGCAAAGGGCCGGTACGTCTTGTGAAGTAGTTCCCAAGTTATCGGCTAGCGAGGAACAGTTAGATCTAACCAGGCTAGCTTCGCACCCAGCAAACAATATGTCGATCGTGTATTTACAAGCGTATTGGTGAAGTCGATGAGAACTTTTCACACGAGGGCATCGCCAAACTCCAGACTGCAAGAGTATGCGGGCTTCTTTGAGCCTCCGAGTCTGAGTTCCCCAGCTCCCATATTTTGCTGTTGCGACGCTCTAGATGTCCCTCATGCTTCCTCGGACTTTCCTCGTTAGTAGTTTTGCTCCAGCCTGCGCCTGTGAACTTTATTGTCAGCCCATCCTCTCAGATCACGGTGGTCCACCGTCGGTGGATATCATGCACAAGTCGGCGTTGAACTCCACGACTCGCGATTAGGAATTTCCTACTAGGAAATATGCGGCTTTCTCCAACTAAGTGATGTCGCTGCCATTGGTCAACGCATATCTGTAGCCTATCTCATGTTGCGTAAGCGACACGCTAAGCGATCATCAAATGTTGGATGCATAGCATCGTACAGCCTGGAATGGAAGCCTGAACCTAGGTCGGAGATTCCGAGTCGGAATTTCCGACTCTGAGCTCGCCAGTCCGTCCGACTAGGCCTAGTCAGCAATTACATGACCTATCTCCACTCCACTCTTAACACCACATCTCAACATGTTCTGCGAATCACGCTTACTCTAGTAACTTAGTATAGTTACAATCGTTCATCACTGTAGGAGGAAATAATGATCGTCGAACAGGACTTTAGTAAACATAGTTTTTCACATACAAGGATTCCTTAGCAGACTCGTCACCAGAACCCTGATACTTTCCGAGCTGGGCTTCAGAGTTAGCCTTGGCACGCACGAGGAAAGCTTCCTGGGCAGCCCTGGTGTTCTCCTCCTTACCAGACCAAGTCTTGATGGCGCTGGCCTGAAGAGCACGACCGTAGGAGAAAGTGAGAGCCCATGGGCGACGCTCCGTGGGGAGTTGGTTCATAGCGGACAGATTAACTGAAGCCTCCTCCTCGCTCTGACCACGGACAGTACGAGCAAGAGTGCGGACAGTCAATTCAGCGATCTTCTGAGCGGTAGGGCGCACAGGGCAGTCGGCGCCCGCAGTAACCATGTTGGGCTTGAGGAGGCAACCCTCGAGAAGAACATGCTGATCGTTAAGAGCCTTGAACACAGCGGATAGAACCCTTTCAGTGACGTAAGCAGATGTCTCAATGGTGTGAGCACCGTCCGTCAATATCTCGGGCTCGACGATAGGAACAAGACCGTTGGCCTGGCAGATAGTCGCGTAACGAGCAAGAGTGTGCGCAGTCTCCTCGATGGAGAGCTGAGAAGGCATCTGCTTGGCTTCGTCAATCTTCAGAACAGCTCTCCACTTGGCGAAGCGAGCACCCTGTTCGTAATACTTCTGGCAACGCTCAGCAAGACCATCAAGTCCCTGAGTGGCAGTCTCACCATCGGTACCAGCGAGCTGGACAAGTCCCTTATCGACCTTGATGCCAGGAATAATACCCTGCTTCTTAAGCAAGTCGACCATCGGGATACCTTCAGCATTCTTCTGGAAAAGAGTCTCCTCGAATAGAATGGAGCCAGATATGTACTTGCCAGCATCAGGTGCAGTAAAAAGAAGAGACCTGTAGGCAGCACGATGCTCCTCAGTGTTCTCAATACCAGCAGCATCGAAACGCTTCTTGATGGTACCAGTGGACTCATCAGCAGCCAAGATCCCCTTACCGGGAGTGCAGATGGTATTCGCAGTCTGAATGAGTTCAGTCTGATACTTTAGAACCTCACGAGCGGGCATGGTGGAATATGACAATTCGATAACTACTGAGAGTAGAACCACTAAAATCATCTTTGACATTACAGAATACCTCTATACTCCACCAAACACTGTTGACCTGGTACACCAGAAAACACTAAGCCAATCTAATACTAGCGATCTATGTCAAGCGCTGATGTTTGCTGAGGATTGTGTACATCTGTCCCACCGTGGCTCAAACTACAGCTGTAGAAGATTCCTCGAAAATGATTCTCCAACAGTGTAAAATACACCTTATTTTGTGTTGTTAGAATTGTTCTACGAATTGGTCCGAGTCCTAGCGTGAAATTGATACTGAAACTAGAGTTTATATTTCTCCAACTAGATGGTATAGATTCGAAGTTGAAGTAGCGCTCTCTCAAGAGGAAGTCCGCTCAAAAAGCAGCTGCCGAATTTCCCCTCGCTAATGCCTGGCTGGTAAACACACACGCAAGCCATACCCTACGACTTCCAGACTTCCACAGCGGTCATCATCGATGTGCGCCAAGAGTGGTGGTGTGACGGAGTTCTCAATTTTCTCATTACCAATTCTTGATAGGGCAATGATTTTCTTTCACAAACAAGATACTGAATATCTCCTAAGTCTTCACAGATGATCGAAGCTACACACTTACTCCCATATGGATCCCAATCCGGATGAGTACGAATACGAGACATCCATTCATGTTGTAATCATCAACATAAATAGGTTTCAGGATCACTGAGTGACATTGGTGAGCGTTTGCCCACTAAAGAACTAGTCAAGGGGAGTATCATGTGATAAGTTAGTAATCTCGAGTATCAGCTGTCAAGATTGGCGATGTATTGGTGGTCCTAGACACACTAACACCAATTTCAAGGTGTGTTCATCATGCACTTTTACTTCAAACACGACAGTAAGGACATTCGCGTATCGCGCTTACAACAGCAATCTGATAGTCACAATTATATATCACTCTTTGAGAAAATCAACTGTCAATATGAATCAGTTTAGTAGACATAGTTCTTCACATACAGAGACTTATCAGCAGACTTGTCACCAGAACTATGATATTTGCCGAGACGGGCCTCATGGTTAGCCTTGGCACGAACAAGGAAAGCTTCCTGAGCAGCCCTGGTGTTCTCCTCCTTACCAGACCAAGTCTTGATGGCACTGGCCTGGAGAGCGCGACCGAACGAGAAAGTGAGAGACCATGGGCGACGCTCGTTAGGGAGTGCGTTCATAGCGGACAGATTGACGGAAGCCTCCTCCTCGCTCTGACCACCAGAAAGGAAGGCAACTCCTGCAAGAGCCGGAGGGACAGTACGAGCAAGAGTGCGGACAGTCAATTCAGCGATCTTCTCAGGGGTGGGGCGCACAGGGCAGTCAACACCAGCAGTAACCATGTTAGGTTTGAGGAGGCAACCCTCGAGAAGAACATGCTGATCGCTAAGAGCCTTGAACAAAGCGGATAAAGCCTTTTCAGTGTAATAGGCACAAGTCTCAATAGTATGATCACCATCCATCAATGTCTCGGGCTCGACGATAGGAACAAGACCGTTGGCCTGGCAGATAGACGCGTAACGAGCAAGAGTGTGCGCAGTCTCCTCGATGGAGAGCTGAGAAGGCATCTGCTTGGCTTCGTCAATCTTCAGAACAGCTCTCCACTTGGCGAAGCGAGCACCCTGTTCGTAATACTTCTGGCAACGCTCAGCAAGACCATCAAGTCCCTGAGTGGCAGTCTCACCATCGGTACCAGCGAGCTGGACAAGTCCCTTATCGACCTTGATGCCGGGAATAATACCCTGCTTCTTAAGCAAGTCGACCATCGGGATACCTTCAGCATTCTTCTGGAAAAGAGTCTCCTCGAATAGAATGGAGCCAGATATGTACTTGCCAGCATCAGGTGCAGTAAATAGAAGAGATCTGTAGGCAGCACGATGCTCCTCAGTGTTCTCGATACCAGCAGCATCGAAACGCTTCTTGATGGTACCAGTGGACTCATCAGCAGCCAAGATCCCCTTACCGGGAGTGCAGATAGCATTCGCAGTCTGAATGAGTTCAGTCTGATACTTTAGAACCTCACGAGCGGGCATGGTGGAATATGACAATTCGATAACTACTGCCAATGGCGAAGCTGTTAATCGTACCTCTTATGTTCAAAAGTCGCCTATAGTACATGCAATGCCCGATAGCGACTGTATAGCTCGAACTGCGGAATATTATCGATTTGTGACCAACGCTGATGATGCACGCTGCGGAGTGTGTATACTTGTCTCCTGCGATTCGAACATAACCGTTTGGGTTGTGTCACCTAGTGGTTGTAGTCTGACTATGTTCGTGGCTCTGACCGTGTCACATAAGAAACTGTAGCGCAATTCTGCTGCTAATGGTGGCATTGCATAAGCCTTCTGGCTACAAAGTCCGACGTTACATCTTTCCAAAGCATAAGAGGATTAGTAGTTCCATGAGCCCACTACTCGATTTCAAGAGCATGACGATGTGTTAAGACAAATGGCTAGCTTACACGCTGCTTGCCGTGCAGCTATTAAAAACACAGTCTTGTCTACGAGGAGTCGATATGAGATCATGTTACATCAGCGTTGTTGAGGTGACTTACCTTCTGTAGAGAAGCGTCGTTCAAGTTGGGCGAGAATTACCAGATACGAGAACGAATAGGCGCACGACGGCTCTTGTGAGAAGCCTCGTGAATCCAACCTGTCACGCAGTGGTGAAATTAACAACTCGAGTACTTCCTCAGGAAGGTGGCTCAATGACCAGCGTTAGTCTGGTTAGCTTTTATTAATAATGAGCTCATTCCTGAAGTATTAAATAGGCTTATCACTCAACATACAGATGTTCATTGACAATGTATACGCCTATGGCCTCTGCAGTTCGGGTACACGTCGGACATTTTCCCACAAATACGGCATCGATCGCTCCGCTAGCACGCATAGGTCGAACACACAACGCTAAGTACACGTGCTCCCGTTTCGGAGCTATTAACGGAGTATTGGTTAATGATATTGATAGTAGCTATATTATAGTTAGTATCGTTGTCGTTCCTCAATATTCACTCCGTAGACATCGACACTCTTGAGGCAGCACTGGGAAGACTCGCCCTTGAGCCTGGAAGGCGTTCGAGTAGATGTAACGGAAGGGTGTGATGTGATAGTAAAATCCACGACTGGGTAACACAAGTACTGATGAGCTTGTAGAGGTAGCTGAGCTACGGAGACTTAGAGGAGTGACTCAAGAGGAGAGGGAAGGGTAACGTGCCTTCCGGGGCGAACTACCATCATTAGCTATAGATCTCAGGAAGCACGCAAACACATTAATGTGCGCAGAATCCCATAACAAGCCAAATGACACCGCACTGCGTGAAATGATTGATCACTTCCCCCATAGATCTCTACGCGTCAGCGTCGCGTGGGGGTGACCGGGTTCTCCGGCACCAAGTAGAGATCAACCCTACCACTCTAGCACGTCCCCCTATGCGGTGACCAAGAAGTGGCTAGAATCAACTGCTTAACACCTTCAACACGACGCTGACTCGTACTCGTCGTCATACACTGATCTCTATTTTCTATCAACTATTTCACCCCTCCTCGCTCTCGTCTATTACGTCGGTTAACTATCCCCCTTCCTTCTCCCTCACTTTTGAATGCCCCGACTCCCCGTTATCACCCCTCCAGCGCCTCCGCTACGCCCAGCACGTCGAAAGCTATGCCTGACGGTTATCTCCTATAACATACATGGACTATGCGGCAGCAAGCTGGAACTACTTCAATACCTGCGTCGATCCTCCCCAGACGTGGTCTGCCTTCAAGAGACCTTCCACGGCCCACACCATTCACTAGCATTTCGCAACTATGGTGTAGAGCACTTGGAGGGGGAGTACCTCCCTCAAGACGACCCAGATGACCATCGCGGACGCCGGAGTAGTGGGTTACTCATCCTGATTCGACGACCACTCCACTACAAAATCTTCCTCCGCATCCCCCTCCACGACACTAATTACTGCTACTCGGCTCTGGGGGTCGAACTGTCCTCGCCAACACTGCCCTCCCCCCTCAAGGTGGTTAACATCTATATCAGACCCCATCAAGGACCCAACCCACCACAACTACAACTAGAACTACCAGCGGCGAACTGTATTGTGGTAGGCGATGTCAACGGCCACCACCCAGCATGGTCTGGTTCCACTCAGTGCGACGCCAACCCCCAAGGCCAAGAAGTCTACACCTGGCTCCGCGAAGCCCATTACAAACTTCTCAACTCCATCCACGACCCCCCTACCTTTCAAGGCCAACAGGGCACGTCTAGTATCGACATCACTGCTGTCACGAAGGATTTGCTCCTATCCTGTACACGGCACCTCTTGGAGAACTCGCTGGCAGCCTCGGACCACCTCCCCCAGAAGATCGGGATCAAGACCACCGCTGGCTTTGTGCGACAGAGTGGACAGAGAGCCAATTATAGTAGGTGGAATTATAAAAAGGCGGACTGGGGTAAATTTCAGAGGGAACTGGACAAAAATCTAGACCAAATCGATTGGGAATCCTCGGTTGCACATATATATACCACTTTAACCCAAGGCTATAAAAAGGCTGCAAAAACCAGTATCCCGAGGGGTAATATCCCAATATATAATTCTTACTGGAATCACTCATTAAATAAGCTTCGTCTGAGTAAAAATCGCGTCCGGCGTGCTATGAATGACCGCAAATCCGCGGGAAAACCCTATGACAAATTACAAACTAAATTCAGGCGGCTTGTTAACCAATATCTTCAAGAACTACACCATGCCAAACAAAAATCTTGGGAAAATTTTACACAGAGTCTCTCGTCCAACTCTCGGAAAATGTGGCGTGTAGTGAAGAGTATGGCAGTTGGACAGGATAGACGGCAGCGGATAGACGTGGAGGGGCACGCTGGACGAGAGGCGGCCCAGAAATATGCTACATACTTGTCAGATGAGATATATAAAAGCCGACTTTCCATGGCAGTCAAAGCTCAATGGAGACAGCGTGCCGTTACTATGAAAACTCACAAAACGAAAAAGGCGTCTCTGTTTAACCCCCAAGTGGCCACAGCGGGACATCAAGAAGCCTTTGACGCCAAACAAGCACAGCCTTTCACCCAAGAAGAATTCGACCGGGCTTTGGGGAAGATAAATACTTCGACCGCACCCGGACCGGATCAGGTGTCCATCACTATACTCCGACAGGGAACAGACAAAGCTAATCAGCTATGTCTGAAACTGATCAATAAGTCCTTCTTGTCACTAGATGTCCCTCACCAATGGCGCCGCGGGAGAGTCATCCTCATCCGGAAAAAACCGCGTACTCTCCTTGCTACACCGTGTGCCAACTATAGACCAATTTGCATAACTAACATCTTCGCGCGACTAGTAGAAAGTATGCTACTATACCGCGTGGAGACGGCATTCGAAAGATTCCCCTCACGCGATGGAACGACGATCAGCCCATACCAATTTGGTTTTAGACCGGGACGGAGCACCGAGGAAGAACTAGCCTACGTGCACCACTCGGTCCGAACTCTCGTCAAAAGGAAAAAGCTCGTCGGACTCCTAAGCTTAGATTTACGAAAAGCCTACGACACGTGTACGTTAGCTGTACTTCGAACCCGCTTGTTCGAAGCTGACATCAACATTCACATAGCACGATATATCTGGGGCTTCTTACGGGGTCGAAAGTTCTTTGTGGACGTAGACGGCGAGCGATCTACATGGCACACCCAACGCGAGGGCTTATCGCAAGGAGCGGTACTATCACCACTCCTTTGGGCCCTATATATCAACCCACTCTTAATATTATTATATAACCTGAAAGAACGGCTCCCCCCACACCTCCGCATAGCAGGTTTCTGCGCCTATGCGGATGACATAATCATCTGGTTTGAGGGAACCTCCCAGGAAGAAGTGGACAACAAAATCAGGCACGCACTATCTTTCATTGAGACTTGGCTCCAGGATAACGGCATGTGCCTGGCAGAAGATAAGATTGGGCTCATATACTTCATCGGTAGGAGGCGTACACCTATCCAGCAAAACCAAATCATTATTAATAACGTGCACATTGAAGCACGGCTAACACTAAAAATTCTGGGGGTAATCTGGGACCAAAAGTTAACATGGGATGCTCACATACATTATATTCGAGGTCGTTGTGCTAGTCGTGTTGGAATTATCAAACGGCTCTCTGCCACTCCAACCACATCGCTACGACTTCTCTTCATTCAATATGTCCAGTGTCTATTCACCTACGGCAGCACTGCATGGAGTTTTGGGGTAACAGCGGCAAGGTGGTCAAAGATAGAGGGGGGGTATTCCCGAGCAGTGAAGGCAGTATTAGGGTGCGGCATTTTGACTTCGGCTGGAATGTCTAAACGGTTACTGGGAGTACCCGAGTTAATCCCACTAATTACCACCTATTGGGATAAACTAATCACTCGTATTTCTCGGTGCCCCCAAGCCTGTGGTCTCCTCTTCTTCCCACAACAACAGTATGTGGACCCGGTCCCTTGGTATGATGAACATCTACGGATCCCCCAACTCAGACATTTACATTCATTACAACATTATCTGTCATTAGCATGTCAGCCTCTTATAGATTCTAACGTTGCTACCACTCCTCAGGTACGCCTACATTTCTACCCCCCACTCCCTCTCGGGGAGGCACGACGAATTATATCACTTGACCTGTCCTTGAATAGCGAGGTTCCGCAGAACGCCGACCGACAGGCATACCGGATTGCATCCTACCAAAAACTTCTTTCCTATGTTGCACAGGGATACCACATTCTCATTGTGGACGCCTCCTATCGTGATGACCTTACAGAACAGCAGCCCCGTTCGGCAGGATATGCTTGGACATTTTATCCCAACGAGGTCGGCCTAATCGTGTCGCAAGGTATTCGAGGACAAGGACCACTCGGAACAGCTATCCATTCATCTACCGAAGCAGAGCTAGCTGCCTTGTCTCACGCGATCAAGGATGTCGCTAGGTTGACGTCATGCAGACAGTCTCTTCTACAGGGTGGTAAGCTTCTTATCGTTAGTGATAGCCAGGGAGCATTAAAAGGTTTATCCCGCGGTTGGCTCCAACGACATAACAATCGACAGACGGTTTGGGAATGCTTACAACAGCTTCTAACTCTCCCCCGACTTCCCCCACAGGGTTCTATTATCACCATCACTGGTTATTGGCTTAAAGCTCATGTCGGACTCTTGCTGCACGACGAGGTGGACCGACGAGCCAAAGCTGAACTCGAAACACTACAACCTGTTGTGCTCGAATCATGGGAAAGCTGTCTAACCAGATTGTCTCAGAGGAAAAAACGAATCTTCGAGCAAACTGCTCACAAGCTTCCGGTAGAACGTCTACTTCCCGGAGGAGCATATGTTTGGAACACAGATGCAATCCATTTGCCTTCGATTGGCCGTGTGGAGCAATCCTTGCTTTTCCGTCTCAGGTTAGGTGTCCTCCCACTCTTTCACCCTGTACTATGTCCTTCGTGTGGTATAGGACGGGACTCTATACAACATTTCTTACTTTCTTGCCCTGCTCTGACCCCTTGGCGTACCCCTGAATTTCTTTCTGGCATACATGCTACGTCTGTCGATCATTCAATGTTCATGTTGTTGTATTCATCGGCTGACATGCTTCGTACTACTTTGGATTTCGTTCACAATTCTGGTCGTAAGATATAGTGTGAAGGTGACCCAGTTGATCTAGCCACCACATTCTGTGTACGTGGGGGCGCGTGTACGGCGATGGGCTCTGCTCGTAATGCCGGGTAATAAGATTTGAATTGAATTGAATTGAATTGAATTGAATTGAATTGAATTGATTGATCACTTTACGTGGAAGGACAAATCCAACGAAGTGGGAATGCCTCGAAAAACCATGCATCCAGGATGATCAGCCACCATAACGGCACTTCAGCTCCACATTACGCAAGTTGCAAATTTCTGACGTAACGCGAGTGTAATTTTTGGGCGCGCGCGATAGTCTTTCGATTTCCACTGCGTTTCGCGCAACTATGGCGGTCGCGCAACTTCCTTATTCCCGTTATTTCCCCCTCGGACGGTTTCATCATTGTACCCCTAGTAGGACAACATCTGTCAGTTCTGAATTATCAAATGCTGCGGTTTATCCTTACATTCACGTCAAGTTTACTTTACATCACTGAGACGCGTTTCATCGCTCCTTGCGCTTTGAAAGCACGCAACACTACAGAGGAAGTTTACACCACATTGCCGCGGTTTTCGGTAAGATACGTTGAATATCTTTGAGGTCGCCAAACAAGATACGGATTAGGCCCGATTGTGGCCTTTCGTGCTGCTCACTAGGAAGATTCGTTTTGTCAGGCAAAAGACCTCCCCACTAGTTGGGACTGGCGAGATGTCGATGGCGAAAACATGGTGACTACTGATCGTAGTTATTCCAATCCAAGGTAGCACCACTTGAGAGGAAATTCACAGGAGTGTTGGAGGAATATATGTTCGCTTTCCTCGCTAATTATAGTAGTTCACACACGACTTAGTGCACAGGAAATTTCCCAAAATTTCCCAAAATTTTCCAAAATTTTCCCTAAATTTTCATTTTGCCTATTATTTCAGAGCGTGCTCCGGCTGCTGGGCGTTCGCCACCGTGCATGCCCTATCCGACCGAATAAAGATTCAACGAAATGCCGCATTCCCCGAGGTCAACTTGTCGCCTCAACCGCTTTTAACATGTGGTTATGAAATCGGCAACGGTTGCCGAGGTGGAGGAGTTATTGATGCAATGCGATATGTAAGGAAAAAATTTTTTTTCGTGTTTTTTCGGAATTTGTTTTTATTTTTGTGTTCAGATTAAGGAAAAAGGTATCACTGATGAAACGTGTTCCCCTTTTACAGCTAGAGGCCACGACACTGGTGATATCTGTCTTGGTTCTACTGTGTAAGTGGTTATTGCTCTCGTGAGTGCGAAATTTCATTTTGTTAAATGTGTGTTTTTTCAGGTGTAGTACGTGTTCTGCTAATGGTTCATGCGAAATACCGAAAAAATATGACATATTTCACGTAGATGAATTTGGCACAGTTTCTGGCGAGGCTGAGATTCAATCTGAAATCAAGGCCCGTGGACCAGTAGTGTGCCACATGCATGTTGATGAGGCTTTCCGCGCGAAGTACGCCCCAGTTGCTACTATGTGGAGCATTACAGTCCTTATCACAGTTACCGTGCGGGGGCAGTTTGGACCTTCTCGGCTACGGACGACTCCACTGAACCCAACCATGCTGCTGAAGTCGCGGGATGGGGTGTAGATGATGATGGTGAGTTTGACGGGAATTTGGTCGTTTATATGAGAAAATATGCACATGTGTCGATCATGATGGGGAAACTTTGGGGAAATTTTTAATTGTTTTCTGCACACTTCTACTCAAAATTGTTTGTAAACTTCTGCAATTAGTGTGAAAATTTTGGTGGAATTTTAATTGTTTTCTGTACACTTGTACTCGAAATTTGGAGCGTGGAAACTCCTGAACTCAGTCGAAGAAAGCGGACAAATATCTCCGTCTATGCTCAGGAACGCCGTACTGGATCGCCCGTTTTGCGTTTGGTACGAACTGGGGTGATCATGGTTGGGCAAAATTGCATCGCTCCGCTAACGGTCACATAGAAAACGCTGGATGTGTATGGGCTACAGTGAAGTGAGATTATCCTCTTTTTGTGGCTTTACTCGGAATTGTCAGTTCTGATGCATGGAAGGACTGGACGCTTTACCCGTCTGTCAAGTGAGGTTGCCTTAGTCGCTTTCCTTGGTAGTGAAAACGTCTAAGGTACACGTCGCCCGTCGTTGATAGTAAAGATGACGTTGAAATTGGTGTGGTGAAGCCCGAGCCGGGTTACCTCACCTTGCGCGGATCTGATGTAGGGGATCGTCTCGTATAGAGTAGAGTAGTATGGTGTTTCTGTGTAGGGCAAAATGCATGAATATTTATTACAAGAAGTTGGCACGGCGGCTAGCACGAGGAGAAGGTCTAGACGTAGTCATGCTATGGGTGGTGAACGGGTAAGGACTACTACCACTCTCACCGTTTTTCATAGAATTTTTTGGAAAATTCGTAAAATATACGAAAAAAAATGTTTTTTTCTGTCCAGGCTGCAACACCCGAAGATGCTACCCCGGCTCAGGAAGAAGCCGCGGTGGAGTCCCCCGAGCCGCAAAATCTCATTGAAAGGCCTTTTGTAGTTGATGTAAAATTTCAGGATTTTTTTTTGTTTTTTTCCGGAAAATTTGTCTTAGGGTCACCGCGAATACGGCAAACCGTCGAATAAGGCAGGCGGATATAAGGCGATTCGAAAGCCTACGAACTTATGTGAGAAGTTTTGTGATGTTGGGTGGAATTTTAGGGCGCGCGCAGGTTCGGTCTACTCTATGGTTTGCAGTGCAGACCCATCGTGTGAATGCGAGACGGGTTATTTTAAAGTAAGTGAATCTGCGAGCCACCATGGTTGGTGACTTTGCGTTTTAGGCGATCGACTCGAGAGCCATTGACAATTCTACTTGTTATCTTTGCGTAGGGCGAACATGACCGTATTGTGTATGGATGCACTTGTTTATGCACAGGTCCCGAAAGTGCCCGGAATTCAGGTCTCGAGCGAAGCCAATGAAGAACTCCCACGTAAGTATGGAAAAATATGCAAAAATTATGAGAAAATTTTTGGGAATTTTGCATAATTAGTGAGGAAACTGCTGATGGTTTTTTTTCAGGCTCGTGGGATTGGCGTAATGTAGGAGGAAAAAATTATTTATCATTTACCCGAAATCAGCATAACCCCAGTTATTGTGGTGGTTGCTGGGCATTTGCGTGTAAGCTACATTTCTGTACTGGCGTCGTGTTGGAGGGTGGCGTTCTCAGCGACATCGGCTTTCGCTGACAGACTTACTATTAAGGACAACAGGCGGTGGCCGAATAAGGCGATATCTCCGCAACAGGTAGACGTATGTGATGATACTTCTATTTTTTGGGAAATTTTGCGTGGTGGGGTTTCACTCGTTTAACGTGAAGTGGCGTAATACGGTATGCAAATGTGTTTTCGCAGCCGAAAATACACTAGTTTTTCGCGAAGTGGAATGTGAAATATTTTTAGCAGATCACGGGTAAAACTCGAATGATAGTTCATATAGAGTTTGTATAAAATTGCTATGTTGACAATATGGGAATATCGAATATTAGTGTGGTAGAGGTGCATGTACAAATAGGAGTTCATAGACTACAATGGGTTTTCGTCTGGAGAATGATAACATTGACGCTCGCACAGGTCGTCAGTTTTTGCTGTATAAAATAGGAGTTTCACCCGTTTTACGTGAAGTGGCAGATTACTCGATGAGAAGTCCGATACTCGCGGTATGCAGTAGTCGTGAAATATGTTTTTCACTAGTGTTTTCTTCATATTTCGGGTTAACTCCAATGCAGGAATATTTTAGGAAATGCTGTTATCTATCTGGGATCACATCGATTTATCGTAATGCAGGTTATTAACTGTCGTGGTGGCGGCGATTGTTATGGTGGTGATAAATACGGCGTTTATGATTTCTTCTACACCTACGGCGCGGTGAGTGAAGTTCACACATCGTTTTGTGAGAATTATGGTAGTAGGTTCACGACTCGTGCAGAGCATACACCGCGACTAATTTTGATGATTTCCGAGGGTGGTGTCCAGCTGAGGCACGCTGTATGGAGTGCTCGGACGGGCCGGATGGATGCAAGGCTACGGCGAATTATAGGGCGTGGTAAGGTTGGGATTGGGGTATAGGGTGGGAAAATATACACGTGAAAATTCAGAGAAAATTTCGGTATACTTGTAGCCGAATTCGTATAACTAGGCCTTCTCGGAGAAGGGGCGGAGCTCGGCATCCGGGTTCGATTCCCATGCCTGGCGTTTTTCTGCAAAAATATGTTTTTTGCACGGAAATCTACATGGTCCGGGCGGAACCCTAATTTCGTATTTTTTCTAGTATCCCCAGAGCGAGAGCTATCGAATGGTGTATAGCATGTGATCATAACCTCTCTAGATCGAGCTGGATAATTTGTACGCACGCACGCACGCACGCACAAAGTGTTAGTAAAGTGAGAGAATACGCTCCGCTCGCTTCGCTCGCTCCGCAATTAGGGAGGAGACTCCTGAGTTCAGCTGAGGCAGGCGAACATACTGGATAGTAGAGGAAATTTGGCAGGCACGTTGGTGACTTTGCTCGGTTGGATGGGGTGGAGCAGATCAAACGCGAGATATGGAAACGGGGCCCTGTGGGGTGCGGAGTTGACGCTACGAAGGAAATGGATGAGTGAGAAGCCAGCAATGGCAGTTTCGGCCGAATTTGAAGTTGATGATAGTTACGAGGGTGGTGTATTTTACCAAGATAAACCTAATGCGGAAATCAATCACGAAGTGTCGTTGGTTGGGTGGGGCAAAGATCCGGAAACTAACGAAGAGTAAGACTGTAGTGTGATCTCGGATATATAGAGGAAAAATATGCACATGGTCAACTAGAGAGAATTTTGGGAAATTTTATTTGTTTTTGTACATTTTTACCCGAATTTGTGTTTAAACTTGTATTATTAGTGAGGAAACTGTGAGACTATACTGAGATCTCGGATTTACGGCTTGGTATAGAGTTCGCTGGTCTACTGTGAGAAAATATGCACATTATCAACTACATGTGTTGCTGACAATATGAAAATTTTGAAAAAATCTCATTGGGTTTTTTTTTACATTTCTAACCGGATTTGTATATGTTCCCCTGTGATTTGTGAGGAAAGCTAAGATATATTCCTTCAACACTGCGCTGCCCTACAGTTGAGAATTCACACGCCAAAATTCATCAGATTTCCTGATAATGATTTCGCTGTTTTCTAAAGAACCTACTTGCAGTTGGTTCGTTTTCTTGATCGCCGTAGTTATTGCAAAATGATTCATCACGTACGCATGCGCAACGCGGAGCGATAATTGTTATCATACTTTGTTTTTAGATATTGGATAATGCGTAATTCGTGGGGAAGCTTCTGGGGAGAACATGGGTATATGCGAATAAAGTTCGGCACACTTCTCATCGACTCACAATGCAGGTGGGCGAGAACTTGGTGAAAGTTTGCGAATTACTTCTCGCGGTTTTCTTCAGCTGGGGTGAGCCTAGTGATGATGTCAGGGGGGAAGTAGTACCTAACGTACCGTTTAGTGTTGGGAGTAAGTGCTTTCGAATTGACCTTATTTTTCCGAGCGTATTGTAGATACGAAGTCGCTTGTCGCGGCAAACTACGTCGAAATGGACCCCATGGGGAATGCGGTAGACCTCCACCCTGCTGGTAGATCAGCTGAGCATTCCGTTGATATCACAATATAATGTCTTGACAAGTTTTATGTCCTATAGCTCTTCACTGTTCTGTCGAGGTGAGGAGTGTATTAGAAACCTTACCATAGTAGTAGTGAACGTGCGGCCATTGTGATATGCACGTCTATTTATCTGATGCATTAATGAGGCTACTAGTGGTGCATTTCTGTATTGTATAGTTTATGCCTTACTGGCGGGTGAGCAAAACGTTGTTCATTATTGTTGTTATTATCGTCGTAGTCTCTCATTTAATTGGTCGCATTTGCCGAATCTGCCGAAAACGTTGCGGGCAGTAGAAAGATAATCGGCAAGAATTATTTTATGTTATCTCCGTTATCAATTACAAGCTACTATGTGATGCCTCGATGGTAGCAGGAAAGGTGGTAGATAATGCGTTATTGCATGTTGCGTTTTGAGTTGTCCTCGAAAAATGGTAATCATGAATCGCTTCGCTCCGCTGAAGCACATGCGTAGAATTTTGTGATTCTGTAGAGATTCTTGAGTATGAGGAGTCCGACTGATGAAGTTGTACTGTCGGGGAATAGTAATGTTGATAAGCTGATACAGCAGTTGGTAAATGGTAGTAAGGAGGCAACTAGTGGTTCGTCCGTGACTGGGGGAACAGCGATCCTGAGCGTTTTGTACATGGAATGGTACCTGCGGTTGGCCATGTGGAAGGGGGGGCTAGGTTGAATCGATGACATGTTAACAATGGTGGGGGAATTGATGTTAATAAGCTTTTTATTCGAGGCCTCCGTCCTGATACTAGTGATGACGATATAAGAGCTCATTTTTCGCAGTTTGGGGAGGTGTTGAATTCAACAGTTGTTTGTGATAGCGTGGTTTTGGCTTCTGTACTTTTGCCAGCGAGGCGGTGGCGAATTACGTACTTGAGAAACGTCATCGTATTAACAGTCAGAGTGTTGGTGTGAGGCTGTACTCGCAGGAGAAGTAATTAGGCTGTTTTGAGGTGTCCATGATTCGGGGGGATCGACGCGCATTGAAGTGTTGAGTAGGGATGAAGTCGCTCACTGCTGTTGAGTGTGGTTGACGTTACTGCTTAGTCTTCGCACTTTATCCACTGCTGAGCTGCCAGGATCACAATCCCTTTGTGGTGTTGATGAGTTGAGTAGGAGTGATGCACGTCTGCTCTGCTGTTCATTGAGGGGCCCGAGTACAGCCAGTGCCATATGTGAACGAATAGACTTTCCATGAATCTTGTGTTACTAGTAGTAAGCACAGCTCATATGCTATTGAGTTTGGTGGTAGAGTGGAAAGGAAGCTCTCGTGTTGTGTAGCACTGCGAGGAATAGTGTATTCGATAGTAGGCGTACAGTAGATTGGTGCGTTGGTGTAGTCAGCTTTCTGGATAAACCTAGTTTTACTTGCGAGAATGATGATTATAGATATCGTGTCGAGCTTGGCTGGACATAGTGTATTGTAGTGTAGGAAAATATGCACATGGTCAACTACATTAGTTGGTGACAATATGAAGAAATTTAGGGGGATTCTGACCATTGGTTGCTGTACACTTCTCCCCGAATTCGTATATAAATTACTATAATTAGTGAGGAAACTCCTGAGCTCAGCTGAGGAAAGCGAACATATATTCCTCCAACAGTAGTATCATATGCGGCTATCATTTTGTCATAGGGAGGTCTATACGATACGAATTGAAGTACCTTCAGAACGTTGTTATTGTTAAGTAGGACTAGCGGCATGAATTCGCGTGGGAAAATGGACTAAGTTTCTGTTCATAAATTTCCTATTATGGAAGTCAACCAATACGTCGTTACTCTGCATCATTCTCTTCACTTGTGTTAGAATTAGTTGAGTTTCCTTACGTGAAGGGGACAGCAGCACACAAAATGCTAGTAGCCTGTCTCGGCCCAGGAGGGTTTTAGCTAGCGTCAGTGACTTTTCCAACCTCGTCGTAGTATACTCACGTATAGGGATCTAGTCGCGAAAAACTCACGAATTTGTGGCGTTGATAGACGTTATTATTGTGTGACGGGCAATTCAGGTGGGTGGAGCGTACCGAGGCGTCATGAGGGTTGTTGGGATAAGATCAGGGAAGTCCTCAGCTGTGGGAGAATTGGTGATGGAGATGATAGTAAGTCGTCATTATTATGTCGTCTCTGATACTCGTGTGCTCCTGTTGCCGTTGTTTTGTCGGTTTTTGTTGTTGTCGTGTTTTCAGTTGGAATTGATAATAGGTGTGTTCTTCTTCAGTTCTTCGTTGTCCTTGTTTTCTCTGGTTATCATCTGTGAATTACTACCATGTCATCATCACCTAACTCGGCTGACTGCCATACGGTGTGCGATCTCGAAGAAGCCGCTACCAAGAGCCAGTCAACAGTATCGGCCGACCAAGATCTTCCCCCTAAGGGAGATGACGATGACAAGAAAGGTCACGTCGCCGGCCAGGACACTGAGGAGGCAGATGCAGGCAACTTGATTACTCGAAGCAAAGTATGGAAAGCCACTTCTCGAAGAGTTGAGGGGTGGTGGGCTAGCTTCAAGAAGGATCCCCGCTTCTTACTTGATCTGGTTATCGTCTATGTATCGGTGATTGTTGACTTCATGGGTTACACTATGCTATCACCTGTATTTCAACAGGTCGTCCGAACCCTTGGAAACGGAGGGTTAGGCGACAGCCTGGGTGCTTCCATGTTGATGACATTCTACGCCATCGGACAGTTCATCACAGCGCTCATCTACGGGCCGCTTTCCGATCGATACGGCCGTAGAATTGTCTTTGTTATCGGCTATACGTTCGCTTGCGTATTTTATATACTTCTAGCCTGTGCTTGGGATTACTGGTCCTATGCTATGTTCCGATTCTGTGGTGGTTTGGCGACTGGTACTAGGCCCGTCGTCTTCTCCTACCTGGGAGATATTGCCACTCCTTCGCAGATGCCTTTCTACTCGGCCTTTGTGTCCATCATGATTGCTATTGGCGCTGTAATGCCAATAATTGGTGGTTCACTTGGTGACACGTGGTGGAGAGCTCCTGCGTGCTTCGGTGCTGCATGGACTGGCCTTTGGGCTGTCGTTTGTATCCTATGGCTTAGAAACCCGAAGAAGAATGATAGTGTTGGCGGTGGTATTGTGAATGCTGAAGGTAAGATGTCGTTCCCTATAATGAAGACTGTCATGTTTATCGTTGTATTGAGCATGATCACTTACACTGGGTTCTGCACTCAATACACTAACATGTCCATTATCACTATCTTCCCTTGGCTGTTGGAAAATAAGTTTGGTATGACAGAAAGTGACGCTGGTCTCATTATGGGTTCGCAAGCTATTCCGACCTTCCTCAGTCTAGTGGTGATATTTATGCCATTATCAAGTCATGGAGTACCCATGCCCTTGCTAGCATGTTTGGGCATGATCTTCCATTCCGTTATGATAACTTTGCCGTTTGTAGATAACGAAACAGGTGTAATATTCCTCTCGTATTGCCTTAACTTGGGTAATTCGTTAGCATATGCGTCCGTGCCGGTGATCGCTAAGCTGATTGCGCCAGCCCCTCGGCGTGGTTTCGTAAATTCCATCGTTCTCTCGGCTACACTTGGTGCGGGTATATTCGGTCCTGTTATTTCTGGCCCTCTTTTCAATATATGGTTGCCGCTACCCTTCATCGTATGTTTCTGTATCTCTGCTACAGGAGCTATTTGTATGCTGTTCTGTTGGAGGTTGGCTCCTATTCTTATGAAGCGACTGGAAGAGGGTTCGACTTAAGAGCCACCCAAGTTACTTATGCCTGCCTGAGTGCGAAGAGCACGAGGGATCTGTGCTTAATTTTCTTTACTCTATATTGTTGTTGTTCTTGTCTTTGACTCCCACACCAATATACCGGACGACCATCATCATTGAGGTTGGTACTCCTCCTGCTACTACTTATATCTAGTTCAAGCTATGTATGTCGCCAGCCCTATTAAAGCTGTTTGAATCGTTGCCCAATATAATGGGTATTCCTTCTAATTTATAGTTGAACGGTTCAACAGTTCGTCAAACGTTAGGGCTACAGGCATGATGTACAGCAGGAATGTGGAAAAGTAGTCACTTCACTATTATCATTGATAAAATTGAAGGTGATGAAAATTGAAGTCAATCGTTTTGGGTAGCTCTAGCCCCCTTACAACGAGTGTTACATAAATAGTCAACAAACCGTGTCTTGTGTTTTACTACAAGTAATGAGCCACTGCTCTCAATTTGAGTAGCCGCTAATTCTATGGGATAGAGTAGGGAGTTGTCCCTGTGGAATTCGTATAGGAACGCTCCCCTAATCAAACATGCAATGTGTGCCACTGTAACATCATGGGGTGTCTATTGACTTCCTTGTGGCGCTGTAATGGGCGTTGGGATATTACCATGCCCCAACGATTTGTGCACTTGAAATGCAGCTCTTGATATTACACCATTTTGAAGGTTATTTAATTGGTAGTCAGATCGAATTTTGCGAATGGGGCAGCTATGCCATTTCACGATGAACCTCAATAAAATAAATTCCTTCTGCCGGGTAACTATGCTGTCTCAAAATTGTCTTCATACAATCAATTTGTGCCGCCGGGACCACTATTCCATTCCACGATGCGCCTCGATACCATTTAATATCTTCGGCGGGGCAGCTATGCCACCTCAGGGTTGCCTTTTACCATCAATTTGTGCGACCGGGGCAACTATGCCACCCCAAGATTGACTTGATACAATGGAGTTCTCCGATCGGGGCAACTATGCCACACCAAGATTGACTTGCCATACAATCAATCTGGAAGAGTTGAAAATGACTGCGAGTAGAGTTGAACCCGTCATTGGAGAAAGTGAGCAGAGCAGAGCCTAGATAGCGCCGATTGGTTCTGACACGATTCCGGCACAGTTGTGCCGAATCCTACACAGAATTTGTAAGCGCTAAAAATTATTACCGAGGCTAGTTTGTAGCGATAAAACAGATGTGTGGAAATGTACCTAACGCAGCGGATATTCGGTGACTTGACATCCGCTGCATGGAGGTCTAGCAATGAAGTGATCAACCTGCGGAATGAGCAGCGAATAGGGAATATCGTTGGTATTCAGACAGGGATAACTTGTTTGATTTGTTCTCATACCGCTTAGCGGTCTGAAGGTGTCCTAAGAGTTGGTCATCATGTACCATATAACAATCAACAGTCGATCATTTCAGACCCGAAAGATGATAATACCGTATTCTTCACAGCCGTGGGCTACTCTGGAACACGGACCAAGTATGCGTATCATCATCAAATGAATCGACTTAGGAAATTACCATTTAAAGAGCTTCAGACAGGGATAACTTGTTTGATTTGTTCTCATACCGCTTTGCGGTCTGAAGGTGTCCTAAGAGTTGGTCATCATTTACTCGATCCTCTAACATTGAATTCAGCCCCGAAAGATGATAATACAGTGTTCTTCACAGCCATGGGCTACTCTGGAACACGGACCAAGTATGCTTATCATCACTATTCTGATCAATCAGATATGTACCAACTGCAACGTACCCACACAAGCATTAGCAAGCTAAGAGAGTATAGCGAGCAGAGGATCCATCTAGCCGTAGGTGAACGATGAGATAGGTTGAGGTGTCCAATCCCAGATGCCTATAATACGGCTATATAATGAACTTACTCAGTACTTCTTAGAGGTTAATTTTACTTCCTCACCAACAATCGGAGGATTGACAGAAAGTGGTCATCATGGCATTTACATTATTACAGTAGTTGATGATGGGTTGGGTGGTATTGAGAGCTTTTGCGAATCGATTAGGTGATCGATAATAGCGGGCGAGCGACACTCAGAGTTTTTGGGAAAGGGACAAGCGGAGCGAAGCGATTTCTGTTTTGACGTTTTTGTCACGTCACAATATTCGGACGAGCGCGACTGTCACAGCGCACCTTGTAGTCGGTCACTGACTGCGCTGAGCTCGACATTGCTCAGCTCGCTCTGTTGCGGGCCGATCGAGACAATATTACGTCGTATATGCGATAGCCTCGGACTGAGAGCATAATAACTACACATAGCAGATTATTGGGCGTGGTTTCCCAAGGCATGGTTATTGTTAATCTACCCTGTGCTATCTCGTGGGCAGTTACACAGCTCCCACAGGGCGCCATGTTGACCATATTACTGTTGGAATCCATTCTTTTAAATTGCCACCATCATACGAATGTGATTTTTTCACGGTGTTTCATCATGAAATCTCAACTCATTCTAAGCGAGGTCGAATTCCACAGAAGTGCCGCATATTTCTCTGCTTGGGTTCGCAACACTCTTGAGATGCGCTTCTAGTTGACTCGGGAGTGTTGATGACGACAACAGTCTCTGCAGCGACCAAAGCCCCGACTGCTGTACTCGGTAAAATCGTCGGAGTATCCGCGGGGAAAATTCAGCAGGTGAGCATCGACGATTTTCCCCATATTGTTAGCATCCACTTTAGGTACCTGAGGAGCCGACCAAGCAGGAGATTCAGGACTATGCTGTGTGGCTTGGTTTGGACACCGTGAAGGATCGTGACCTGTTTTGGATAGCCAGACAGGTGAATACCACTGATGCGCCCTGTATTTTCCTTTTTTTGTTTTTCTCTAAATTTTTCTTTTTTTTGTTTTTCTATGTATTTTCCTTTTTTTGTTTTTCTATAAATTTTTCCTTTTTTTCTTTTTCTATAAATTTTTCCTTTTTTTTCGTTTTTCTATGTATTTTCCTTTTTTTGTTTTTCCATGTATTTTTCCTTTTCTTGTTTTCTATGTATTTTTCTTTTCCATTTTTCCTATGTATTCATCCTTCTCTGCGGATGTGTATTCCTTCCGTATTTTTCTCTTTCTGCCGATCAGGCGTTGAGAACCCCGATTCCCCAACCCTGGGTCCAATGCCAGACGGTCAGTGGTGATGTATTTTTCCACAACACGAAGACGAAGGAAAGCGTTTGGGATCATCCGTAGGACTCCACTGAAGAGTAGTCTTCAATATTCTAATCGCAGATATGATCAGTATTATCAGCAAGCTGTTGAGCAGTATAAACGTGGGAGGATTTCTCGAGAAGAGCTGGTCGGTTCGCACGGTCCTACACTACTTCAGCCTAGTGTTTCGGTTTAGTCGGCTAGTGTATCACAGTCGTGGCTATTCGCTACCACGGATCAGCGGTCTTCGGCCCAAGTCAGTGCTGAGCCTATAAAGGGTGGTCCGGTCAACCATAGCACAACAGGTGAATTCGTGATATGTGGAGGAGCCGGGGATGGCGTTTTACTGTAGAGAATTCTCCAGCGCGCATCGTACCTGATCTTGAACTGCCTGGCGAGCCCGTGGTGGAGGCTGCTGCTCGGTTGCCTTCACAGATAATAGTCAGTGAAAAGTGAGGATTGCCATACTCGTTGCTTCAGACGTTATTTATTTTCAGATCGTTTGATAACGATCAGGAGGGAGTTGATGATGGTCCAGCAGGTACTCCTGGATGGCTTGGTCGGTTTCGATAATAAAAAAAATTAATAATTTTAATTTCTCTCCTATGAAGAATTTCGATAAAATTGGCAGCAGTGAATTAAGCTGATTGAAAACATCACTACTACTCAGCTTGGTTGAGTAGTCTCCACGACGTACTAACACATACGACTAAGGCTTACCGATAGTGTGGCGGCGGCGATTGGTCTACTTTCAGGAGCTCGCGATCTGCTGAAGGAAATCGATTCGAATGTACCCGATCATGACGATGTAGCTGCTACTGAGTATGTGGGAAGAAGGAGAGGAGTTCGGCTCGAACTTGATCGTTCAGGGAGAGCTCCGCTGATAGGCTTTTTGAACCGCCCCCGCGCAGTGCAGAGGCTGCTCAAGCTGAGCTGGCCGAGTTGAGGTTGAAGATCGAGAAAATGGAAATGGAGAAGGGGAAGATCGAGAGCGAGCTCGGAGGTAATTTCGGAAATTAAATTTTCGCATAGTATGCATACAGACCACTTGATAAGGCCTGGAATCAAATCCATTTGTTTGACGGTGTTATCAGCTCTTTATCGTGAAGTTGGTCAGGGTGTGGTACTGATTGTTTTATTGGTTGAAATGGCTTCCTCGGCTATGGTTGGACAGAATGTTGGTTCTCGAGCAACGTTGGCAGATTCTGAAAGACATCGTAAAAAGCTGCGCGAGGAGCGCGATGCTGCTGCGGAATTACTCAGCTCAGCCGAAGCGGCCAGAGAGGAGGTGATGGAGGCACTTGAGAGGGAGAAAGAGGTGGGCGATTGAAAAATAGTACACTATTATCGCAAAAAAAGTGTACAGGACCCGGCGGTTTACACTAGTAGTGTAAACTGAGTAGTGTAACACCATTCTGCAGTTGGCATTTATATATTTTCAATTTCTCATTGGGATGAAATGTATTATAATATAATTATTTAATTAGAAATGTTGTGTGTCAGGCCCGTCAGAAAGCCGAAGCTCAACTGAGTGCCCAAGCGGCTAGCAATAGAATAATCGTTGGGGAGCTCACTGAACAGTTGGAGGAAGTTCAGGCGAAATATGAGTATTTGGATAGTCTTATTGCCACGCAGGTGAGCTGATCATAATCAGCATTTGATGAAGGCATCTCGCCTGTGTTGCAGACGAGCGAGGTACAGATGCTTCGAGACCGCCTAACAGAGGGTCGAGAAAAGGTTAGGGTGCTCGCTGAGGAAGACGCAGCTCAGCGAAGACTGTTGGTGGAGAAAGATAGGGAAGTGGTCGACCTCAACCGAGCCCTAGCATAGTGAGATAATTTTCTGTCTTTGTGGAACACTGCATAAGGAGAGTTTCTACGAAAAAAAAGTTCTCATCCACTAACCGTAGTTGTATATATTCATATACTTAAATATTATTATTAAATATTATATTTTCAGTATTCATATAGATCTATTATAATGAAGGGATATATAAATATTAGATATTATTATGGGGCTATAACCTACAATTACTATATATAATAATATGCCCCACGATAACCCATATAATTTAATATATATTTTATAAATATGGGGCATTACCGATATCCCGATAAGTATGTGGAATCGAATAAAAGCAACATAGGTGTTGTCGAGGTGCGGCTCGTTGTTGACTTTTTTCTTCAGACTTCGACAGCAAATACACGTAGAGAGCAAAAGGTCGACATTCAGTAAATTATGCGGCGGAGTTCAAAAGGACATGGCTGATACCATACTTCATCAAGATCTTGATGCGTCTGTTGATGCACCTGAAAAAAACAAGTATGATGAGTTTGCTGCTCGTGGTTCGTCCATAGGGTTTTCCTCAGGCTCTTCGATCAGCTCTTGAACCGCGTCCTAGCGCAGCCTCCACCGATGACCGATCGGTTCGAGCTGGAGAGTTGAAGTTGACGTGACAATTGATTGCATAGAGCAGTATTGAGTGTGATGTGTTGACCATGAGAAAACGTATTCATTGGTCTAGTTTGTCTCATTAATCTGTTGCGTTGCTAAAGTTCGGCTGGACAACAAATAGATATTTGTGAGGCAGGGCAAAAATAAAGACATTTTGAATACAGGGTGTATAATATATTTTATCTGTGTTACTATGAAAAATATAGTTAGTTAATAATACTCATATACGTTGACCAAACGAGGAGGCTGTCAGGCACACGGTGACAGCTTCAGACTCCTCACTCACGCATACGGCCACGTGGTTAGGGATGATGCAGAGGTCATCTCAGTAGGACACTATAGCTGTACATATACGGAGCGTTAGACACAGCAAGTGCAGGAAAAGACTATACTTGAGAATTTGTGCTTGAATTTGTCCTTGTTACGTTGCTCGTCTGTTATATTGCTCGACAGAGCTCATCGAAGTTGCAGGCCAC